AAATTGTAATACTCTTAGTTATACTCAAGTTTATTTGTGTAGTAGGAAATCTGTTTTTTCTCAGTTCCATTCTAGTCATTTACTTTTAGTTCCTCATTCCGTTGTTCACACTTGCTTCTCATTTTTTGAGCTTTATCATGTATGTTAGACCAGAAGGATTTCAAAAGGAGAAAAGTAGAGCCAGATAGTCTACACTTCCTAGTCTTATTGATGCTGAGTGTGCCAAGATGTTTCACTGCAAAGCTCAGTAATAGAATAGAGTTTTTGACTTAATACTTATACATTTTACTCGTGTTTTGACAGCTACTTTCACTTCTACCCGAATCGTTTTTTCTTTATTTGAACAATAACTGACTTTTACTGACTTTTACTACACTGCCCCAAAATAGTACTTTTACTTCAATATGAGTTTAATGACTATGTCGAACCCATCATTATTTCTGCCTTAAGCTTATTATTAAGCTACTTCCAACAGACAGTTTAGACACAAACAATGGAAGCACAAGTAGCTCCAGACTGGTTATGGAGCCTCTGCTAAGGAAAGTCCTTTTATGTCCCGTTGCCATCGGTGCCTGTGTTGACTCGCGTCAGGTGTGTTTGTTCATCTCTATGTGAGGACAAAGGTCTTCCAGGCAGGGAGCGATTCTGGGAGTGTGTCAGAGCAGAGGAACCAGAACCAGAAGAACTTGCTCAGTTTTCTGCCTATTAACCATGCTGTGAATTCAGACGCATCACACGGGCCTCATATGCAGAATAGAGGCATACAGGGCTGTATTTGTATAGCTTAGAAACTTGACTACTTCTGATAATGCGTTTTATTCCCTGGCAGGATTCGTCAGTGCTAGGGCTGGGATTGTGTAGGATGTAAAGGATACATGTTGCCATGGGAAAACAGTCATTCTGAATGAGGAAGTTCCATTAAGAAATAAATGGTTACTGTGTTTTCTTGTTCCCTGTTAATGTGAAAATACCACAAGCCAAAAGCCAGGCAGAACAAAGCTTCAGTTCCCTCCTCATGTTGCTCTATTAGTAACATTATGACCATGCAACATTTAGGTACTTGAGAAGTGTCATATATTTTACTCAACTGTGGTGTGATGATGATGACAATGACTGAAGTGACTAAAGAGACTAAAGTAACTTTTCAGAAGAACAAAACCAGTGCAAACCACACACTGTTCATCTTATGTTTCCAGTAAAAATAGAAACATCTAGGAAATACACAGTTTAACCTACAGAACTAGCTTTTGTCATTTGGTAATAACAAAAGCATGTACATTTATATTAAATATTTCTCACTCTCATAGAGAAATGCAGATCGATGCAGGAAGTGCAGATTCTAAACTATCTATCAGTACTACATTTTGTGTAAGAGTGTGGAGTGGAAGAGGAAATATTTTATGACTTGAAGTTGATGAATTGCATAAGCCTTGTTTTGCAGAAAAAACATCCTTCACATTTTTGCAATGTTTTTGTCACTTGTTGACATCAGAACAAGCAAACTCTCTCTGGATGGGTGGCATTGGCCCTTCCTCTCCCCCCATCACTCAGCACAATGTTAGCCAGGCAGGCGTCTTTTAGCTGACCTAACAGGTTTGGCAGTTAGTGTTGTTCTCCAAGCGGGTTGAGTTGACCATTGACATTGCCTTAGCAGCAGCTTGAAAAGAGATGTGGTGATGTGTGTGATGGGATGAGGTAGAATTGACTACACTGGGGGAGGGGGTTAAATTACCTTAAAGTATTAAGGCCTCCCTGTTATCCCTGTAACTACATTTAAATAATACTTTAAAAAGTTTCATTTTAAAATGCTGCATATCCATTTAAATGTTTTGGATATGAAGAGGTTTAAATAAATTATACTAATAAAGGTGATATTAATCATAGCATTGATATTTTTGAATGTGTAAAGCCCACTCGTAACAACAAGTATTATGAAAAAGGAGAGAATTCATGAAAGTGGCATTTAATGTGTTCTGAAGCTAATCCTTTCAAAATGTAAATCATATATAATATATGTCATGTAATTTAAAATGACACTAATAACTCTAGATTTAAGAAGAATATACATGTGCATAAAATATACACCGTACATAAAAATGTACACTCACTGAGCACTTTGTTCGGTCATATAGGTGCACTTTGTAGTTCGACAATAACAGACTGTAGTCCATCTGTTTCTATGCATAATTTGTTTCCCCACTTTTAACCTGTTCATCAGTGGTCAAAACCCCACAAGACCACCACAGGGGCCACATTATGTGGGTAGTATATCATGCTCAGTGAGTCTAAATGTAGGGGAATGTTTTTGTATTGAAGCATAGGCATGTCAGTGTTCATGTGAAAATTCATATAATGTCCTTTCTTCATGAATGTTAATGAGACTGTTGGAAATGTGTCCTCAGCGGTGTGTTCTACGCCCTGTCTGAATGGAGGCAGGTGTATCAGGCCAAACAGGTGTCACTGCAGTCAAGGCTGGGGCGGCCATGATTGCACCAGGTGAGTCTATACACACACACAAACACACTCTAATATTTACAAACATGTCTTACATTCACTGCCAGTAGTAGGTCTGTTCTGTGTAAACTGTACACTCACCTATTGTAAGTATACACTGACAAGCAAATATTGTCTGTACGTTCATCCATTGTAACACCTGATACCTCAACCCCTATACACCCACATTAACATGAGTTGCATTGCATCTGACCTCCCACGTAATCAGTTCTGCTGGTAGTAATTTAAGCATGTACTGTTTGAGATCCTCCCTGCTTTCCTTGTGTGCCTGTATAGGGTTGGCATGCTCAGTTTTATGCCTCTTTTTTCAGTAGATGGCCTGGAAGGTTCAACACTGTTGGTTCAGTGCACTCCCTTCTCTAACTTACTTTTTTCAGCTGTTGAGAGTTTAAAAAAAGCTGAGGAGCTGTATCAAGTGGGTTAGATCAAGGAGAACACTTAAAACCATCACTGCTCAACAGCCCTCCTGCAGAGTCCAGTTCCAGCTGTATTCTAACACACCTGGTCCCAGTAATTACGGCCATCAGAAACACACCTGATCCAAGTCATCAGCTTCTTCAGAAGCTTAAGCCAGGACTGTTAGAGCAGGCCTGGATCAAGAAAAATAGGAAATAAAAGCTAAAACAGCTTGCCATAATAATAAAATTTCAGCATGTTAATTAAATTTTTAATTGTAATAAAACATACCAAATATTAAACTTTATGTTAAACTTTTATATATAATGAATTGGGAATATAATAATTGAATTATTATTATTAGTAGTAGTAATAGTAGTAGTAGTGGTAATATTGAATTGGGAGATTTTAATGCTAAACTATAATGACTACAATTAAATGTTGAATAATAAGATAAGAATTTATTTATTTTTTTAAATAAATTTTATAGTTAAAACATTTTCCAATAAAGAAACTTTTTTCTTGAATAAAAGGTAAAAGCATCTTTACCAAACAAATTACTATCATTTGTCCGCAGTTCCCTTTAACATAGCTCCTCCTTCTTTTAGTAGCCAACCAGAGCTTAAGTGGGCTTTTAATATGCATGACTCAGCTTTTACATGTGGACTTTGATTGACTCTTGCTTAGGATACCGTGAAAATACTGCAGAGTTAATTACTGCCTCAGTGACTTTATGAATAGCTCTTATTTAGTGGCCCACACGTGTTGTGTGATGTAGCGCTTTTACTGCCACACAGTGTGAATCTAGCCCACTGTGTCCTAAACCACATTTATACATCTGTGTTTTCCTAATGAAGACCTTAAAATTTTTTTGGGTGACTATTGACATGTAGTGTTTGTTAGCAACATTAGTCTTGTAGCTTCTAGCTGATGTTCAAACTTTGTTTCTTTAGTTTTGCACTGGGGCTTGTGTAGCTGAAAAATAGTGTAACCCAAAATCTTTATTATAATAAGATTTCACTTATTTACAATACTTACAATATTAGCCTCCTAGCTACTGTGCCAAACTGAAGAGGCGTACCATGTCTTGCCCAATGAACTATATTTGGGGTAAAGGGAAAAGTGCAATAGTTGGGATGAAATTCCACATTGTCTTTAGAGCATAACTGCTTCTCAGTTCTTTGTGTGAGAGAGATGCTAACTAGCAGACTCTGTTTTGTCAGTTCAGAACATTTTTTTCCATTTTGAAAATACATTTTTGGAAATACTGATCTGGACCAACGTCACCTCTTGCAGTGCAGGGTAGCATTTATTGGATGATATATTTCATTAGTCAAACTTGCTTATGAAAATTTTCAATACGTTTTTATGTAGATGTGCTGAATCTGCGGAATCTGTAACACTTGATATTACTGTCAAAGCAGCATGCAGAACAGCAGAAAGGCCTTAATGTAATTCCAAAAGGGGTTAAATCAGCTGAATTTAGTGCAGCAAAGAGGACACTCAAAAGAAAAGACAACTGCCTCCAGTCCACTCCCCTTAAATGTGTTTTCATTTGGGATTAAGCGTCGTTTCATGTGACAGGAGAAAAAAAAACACAGTTTGTTGGTACAAACAAGGTCAGGCTTCTACTACCATAAACTGTGATCATTTCATCAATAACTTCTTGTTTTTTAGGAAAAGAAAAACAGGATATTTTCAATTTTAATATGGCACTCAACACAGAGGAAGCTGAAGCATCAGCACACCATGGTGGATGTAGGAGTCTTCTGTATGGGCCTGTAAACAGTACTTTCTCCCTCCAAAAATTTCAAATAAGTGTTTTGTAAATTAAAGCTGTATTTTTTCACATAGAAAATAAAACAGTATTAAGTATATGCTGCTGCTATATACATGATCTTGTACGATGTGTAAAAACTTGTGTGATTGTCCGGTGTATATGTGTATAAACTATTCTTTTCACATTTTTATTAAAGCAGAAAATACAACTCTAAGGAAACCAGATGTGCTACTCTGTGCCGCAACATAGATTACAATTTTTTTCTTTATGTCCGTATTACAGCTCTCATATCTCATTCATACTGCACAGGATTGTTCGTCACAATTTCATTTTATTTATTGAGTCCATTGTATAAAAAGGTCAACATAAATACATGATATGCCATTTGTGGTAAGCATTAATGTTTTTCTTTTTTAAAAAAACAATGACGATATGTCAGTGTCAAGTGAAGACCTTTTGTATGAGGCTTAGCTGGAAAAAAGGAGGAATGTGCTGGATAATGAGAGGACTACAATGCAGCTTTCATGCAGGAGAGAGTTGAGAAATCCTTAGCTATCTGGTGTGCATGTTTGTGAGTGTTGCTTTATTTAAACTTATGGATGGTTTGCTCCAGTGTGTCCTTGCTGGCTCCGGAAAATTCATGCACCTGTGAACAGGAAGTGTGGTCACGTGATTTGAACAGATGCAATTCATCAAAGAATTTGCACAATTTAGAGTAGAATATTTATTTATAAGCCACACACTCTTGCTTGTAGGGGTGCATGATCAGATTCAAGATTAGAACTGGATCATTTTTGATCCAAACAAGCAATCAGCCAGTTTATTTTTAATTTAGCCAGTATTTGTTGCAATTTTATGCTACAAAAACGTGAGCAGGTATAGTGCTTGCGCTGCATTTGAATGCTGCTTCACCTATACCAAAATGTCTAAGCATAATTATGCTTAACTCATTAACTGCATTCCAAACCTATGTAGCAGATCAAAAAAAAGTGGGCCCTCGGTAGCGCTGGCCTATGAAGGCCCCTCGTTTGTATTACATAATACAAAATGGAACAGCAAAACATTAACTTGTTTGTAATTGAATGCTATCCTGCAAAATAAAAACTGTTCAACATGCTGAGAGGAGGTACATTTCATACCCTGCATTCAATTACACCATCCTAAACACAACGAACAAATATAAGAAAGAGTGTACTGTACATTTTACTATACATTTTCCAGCTTGTGTAGTAGTTGGTTTCATCAGCAGGCATTTATCTAGAACTTTTTCTTGGGTCAGACGTGTGCACAAAGGATTTTAGATGACAGAAGAGGATGAATGATACTTCGGTAGCATCAGTAGGTAGTCTACATTTCTCAGCTGTTCTGCTTGTAATAACCTTTGATGACATAGCGGTCTAGAAATGCAGCCCACCTAGACTGCAGCCTAGCTTTTGAAACACAGCTATTGTGTCAAAAAAACAGCTGATGTAATATTAATTCAATTCTGATTTTTCTTTTATGAATTTAAAATGGCAGTTTGGTCTGTTTAAGAGCAAATTGTTTTATATTGCTACTGTGGCTAATAAAAGTGCTTGCACTAGTGTGTTACATACATTTTCTTAGCCATTACATATATTTCTTAGCTAATAAAATAATCCTTTGCCGATAAAAAATCATGATCAGTGCACCTCTACTTACTTGTCTGTAAAGAAAGCACAAATTTGGAAAAGTCTGTTGAAATTTTGTGGTCTCACCTAAAGACTGACTGTCTTTTGTCAGAAAAAATCACAAGAGATGAGGACTCACCTTTTTCCCATGCTTGTAGAAGTGGAAAGTTGGCATGCATTTGATGCCACAAAAACTGGCCACATCCTAGAGGAAGAGAGGGAGGAAGCGGTTATATTAGGTAACCTGTTTGTTCTTTTATCACTGGACTAAGTGATAGCAATCTTTAATATCATCCTTTCATTTCGGCATTCTGTGAGATGAGACAGAGGCTTCACAGCTGTGAACGCCACAGCACGCTGTGAGCCGTTGCAACATAGTAGGACGATTATGCAAACTAACCAAGATAAGAAACCACTGTCTGACCATAGGCAATGCACCTCAGCTCATTTACAACTAGACTGTTTATTAGTTGCCATTTGTGAGCATAAAATATCTCCTTAGGGATTTAAGTATATGCCAAGCTTAAGATTAGAAATAAAGTAAAACTAAAAAAAAATACATCAAGGATGAAGTCTATATGACACCTACATAAGCCTCTCATGACAACTGACATAAACCTACATAAACATTCATAGAGGCTTATTCCATTATAAAGACTGCTTTTGCCAATATTGATATAATTTCACCTCAGCAAGTGTTATGACTACTGACACCTGCTGAAGTAAGCCTTAGTTTATGTCAATTGTCATTAAAGGCTTATGTATGTGTTGTGTAGCCTTATGAAAGCTGCCCTTCAGTAAAGTGTCACCATAATAATGCAGTTACAAGCCAATAAGAAGTTCAATACATCAAAAACAATTGAATTTGACAAAATACATAAGGTTTACTTTCCTGAATGTTTTTGTCACTTTAAAATCTTTTTTCCTTTACAGTAAAAGGAGTAAGTAAATTACAGTTTATGAATATGTGGGTAAGCGGCTCTTCTGTGCTAACAGGAACACAGTGGGAAAAGTGCAGACAGAGAAACCACACACAGTGCAGAAATGGTTTCATATGCTCGTGCTAGACGTGCCGGTCTACTCTATAACCTGAATGTATGTATGTGTGTCCTGCTAAACGAGTTTCATAAGAGCCTGTCTCAAACAAGCCCTATCTTCTTACACCAAAAATGCCAGACCTGACTATTTCTGCCATGACTTACTGATTTAAATGTCAGGCAGAATAAATTTATTAAAATCCATCTTCTAGCCTGACATTTCAACAAACAGAAAACATTATGAAGCTCATCAATCCTCTCTTAGACACACATACCACACAGTTAATCTGCATTATATGTGAAGAGTCACATCCTATAGCCATAAAAACATCCCAGAAACACAATAACCACAGCCACACCACAACCCTGATAAAACTGAACAGCAGCCAATATCCTCTGCGAGTGCCATCACTGTATCAAACACTGCACTACCAGCATACAGCGTAGCAACATGAGCGCAGGGCAGCTTCTGATACGCTGGTGTTCAGTTCTGCTTGAGTGCAAAGTTATACCTAAATGCATGCAAATGCATTGCAAATCATATTACAGGTTAAAGGATGACTGCCTGGACACGCACTGAAGAAAGTCATCTGGTAGGTGAGATCCTTATGATGTGGTGCTGGTGATCTTTCAGTGTTTATTGAAAATACAACGTTGATGCTCTTACAAACTGCACTTATGGAAATAAACAAATATATCATTGCTGTCAGGACAAAACCTTGCATTTCCAAATAAGTAAGGAAAAAACATTTGTAACTTTCAGTGTTAATGTGTTCAAGTTAATGATATTATTTGAAGTCATTGTGGACCATTCCTATTGATCTATTTGTTGTAAAAAGTTGACAGTGTAAATGGGAGCTGAAATTACATTTCAAGTTCTTTTAGAAATGGCTAGAGGCAAAACTAGACTAGAGTTTGCGGTTTAGACGTTTGAGCCATTTAGCTCGTCTGCCTATTTTGGCATCTTTCATCCCATAAAGCAAAAATATGAAGATGTTTGAAACCATTTTTAAACTGGAATCTGCACACTGACCTGCGCATCATCCACGTCCACCTTTAGAAACACCACATCGCTGTTCTCTGGACGTTGAGAGAGTTCCTGAGGAGAGAGAGGCTTATTAGCAAAGAGAGGTTTCTTCATAGGCACATTACAGTGATGATCGCCCTCTGTAATAGGCCTGAGTGGATCAGTGCTGAGCCAGGCCGAATGTTAGAAATGGCTTTTACAGTAAAGAGGAGATCAATAATACATGCTTACTCGCTTTCTATTGATTAAGAAAGTAGCGTATGCAGTACTCGCTCTCTTCTTTCTCTCTCAGTCTCTCTCTTCTTTCTCCTTCTCTCACACTTTTTCTTTCTCTTCCTCTTTCTTTTGTTCTTTCTTTCTTTATCTCATACTCTTCTCTCTCCCTCTATATTCTTTTCTCTTTCTTCTTTCCTCCTTTTTCTTTACTTTTCATTCATTTCTCTCACTCTCTGTTTGTCTCCCTTCTCTTTTTTCTTTCTTTCTCTCTCATATTCTCTCTCCCCCCTTCTTTTTCTTTCTTTTTTCTGTCTCCCTCTTTCTCATTCTCTTTTCCCTTTCTTCCTTTCTTCCTCCCTCACTCTTCTCTTTGTCTTTTTCCCCTTTTTCTTTCTCTTGCTTTCTTCTCTCTTTCTTTTTTCTCTCTCTCGCTTTCTTCCTCCCTCCCTCTCTCTCCCTCGCCCTCTCTCCCTTCTTCTTCCCTCCCTCCCTCTCTCTCGCTTTCTTCCTTTTTCCCCTCTCTCTCTCTCTCTCTCTTTTCTCTCTCTCCTCTCTCTCTCACATTAGCATTCCTGTAATAGCCTCTCAGGCAGAAGGAGGCTTCCCCTGTGGTTGCCACGACGATGAATAACAAACATAGAGCCACTCCCGTTGATTGCGGAAGCATCTGAGGAAATCTCATTAGAGTCCTGTCAGCTGCAGATGCTGGAAAGAGAGAGAGAGGGAGAGAGACAGAGGGAGGGAGACTGACCGATACAGAGAGTCACTCACTTCAAAAAAGGGTCCGATCATTTTGCAGGGGCCGCACCACATAGCTGTGAAATCCACTACCACCAACTTGTTCCCTGCGTTTTTCAGGGCGTTTTCAAAGGCTTCCTGAAGAGATAGACAGAAAGAGATTAAAACAATGAGATAGATTGACTGGAGTGTATAATGATCACCAAAAGATTCCATACAAACAAGCATGGTGAAACAACACTATGGCAAAGTAACAGTCCAAGAGCCATCTGTTCACAGACTACACAGACAGTCTGCCCTGTACTAAGGCTTATCTATGGTAGCGGGAACTGTGCAGTGATTACAATAAGAGTTAATTAAGGCCTCTTCCTTTCAGATATTACTGCATCTCTTACAACAGGATATTATACTGTGGAGTGCAGTCAAAAAAATGATGCAACACCTCTGACTAAGAAGGCTCAGAAAGCCTGGCTTTCGCTTCTACTTTCTTTATTATTATTATTACTTTGTATCATTACCCAGCTACTGGGCAGTTTTTATTTCATTTATTTATTCAATGTTTATTTAATAGGAACAGATACATGAGCACAGAAAATGACAAGGAAAAGTCTGATAGCACGTATCGTAACATTTATGGACATATGATCATTTGCAACATTTGTCCCAAGAAATGTACGTTAATGTTTATATCTGGATGTTTTTATTTCCTTTGTCCCATCTGTTCTCTCAGCTTGCCTGGGCACAAATCTGCTGAAATCATACTAAATGTAATAGGTGTATATGAACAAGTAAATAAAACATCACTGCCGAAATGAGGAAATACGGAAATCTTCACCCTCCACATGATTAAGTCACAAGTCTTCTATGTTTTAAGGATTACTACACTGTAAATTGTAGCTAGTATACAGTCTACTCATATGGAAATCTGATATATGGCAATATATGGTTTTCAAATATATGTCATATGCCAAAATTGGGACATATACTTCAGCCTTATATCAACTTCAAACATATATGTGTAACACATCTATACAATACATACATTATTCATATATGGTTGGCATGTATTACTAATGTGTGCTAGCTTCATGTTATATAAGTTTTTTCTATTCTTTGTTTTTAAAAAAATTATTCAGTGTTTGTATCAGGCATATATTGGAAATACAGAATGTGTGATCATATTTTTTGCATGTATGTATTCACCGACCTATCAGACACATATGTATGATCCATATATTTTGCATATATGTCCAATATTCAATACTTATACTCATGCACACTACAAATATGACTGCATATTTTGAAATATATGCCTAACCCGTATGGCCATATATCAGATTTCCATATGGACTAGCTCAGAAGAACACAAGAACCTGGTGCAGGAGTTTTAACAAGGCTTCACTGTCAGTGACCCGGACTCCATTCGACCTTTCAACAGTGAATGTATAACAGGATAAATAACCCAAAGTTAGCTGTTCATTTACTGGAGTGTACTGCAGCTTCTAGAAATCACTCAAAACGAGAGAGAAACTGGTATTTATCACTCAGAACGAAAGAAAAACGAACATTCATCACTCAAAACGAGAGTGAAAGTGCTGCATGTCGGTAAGAATGATGCTTTCCAAGTTTATTAAAGTTTATAAAGCCATACACACCGCCTGCACTGAAAGAAAGTTTTCGAATAATGTCGAGAGTTAAAGAGAACCAGATAACAATGTAATACAGGCAGACAGAGAAAGAACAGCAGCCTATAAGCTAAACACATTTTAATTCAATTCGACAGACACTCAAAACCACAGAAAACAACAAACAATAACAATAAATGAGTACTGAACTGAGAGGTACTCGCTCGATCGACAGTAGAAAATAAAGAAAATATTAACTCTAGTCCTGAACAGCATAACCCAGCAAAGCTACTGAGCCTGTTATGCTCCTCTCAGTGAATTTAAATTTCACACAACTGCAGTCAAACAAGCTTATAAGTAGTTTAGAGATCATTAGTGGACAATCTTACCTTATCCTCGATTACGATCATCATCTTAATATTTTTCCGTCACTTCCAGCTCCAGCAGTCGGTTCAGCGCTGAACGCCCTTTAAAGACGTTGATTAGGCCCCGCCCCCTGACCACAAGCTATGAATCATCAGGGACACGCAGTTCTCGTCATGGGCAAGTTTGTTTACCACCCCGTTTTCTGACCAACCCTGTCTGGGATTGGCTAGTGGTTCACACTCCTGCTCTTGGATTGGCTAGAAGAGCCGTTGTTTTTGAGTATGAATGAAAAGGAATAATAAAGACTTATGTAGTGTTTTATAACTACTACTAGGAAGACTGTTATGCAGTTTTTACGGCTTAAGGGGTTTAATTTTCTCTCGTGGAGTTTGAAGTTATTTCTGCATGTTGAACACACAACTGCTGCCATCAAAGCGCAGAAGTAGGCAGAACTGAATCATACAGGTGGTGGTTGGCTTATCTTCGATGACAACAATCATATTGATTGGACAGTAGAAACTCGCCTGCGCTATGATTGGCTAATAACTATACTGCCTCGCGCGCTTGCATTGGTTCCTAAAAACTATTAGCGAATCAAAGTAGAGGACGAGGGGCCTGACGGAATACGGGTGGTGAAGGAAAACCCTGCACGAATCCTAAAGAGAAACGGTTGGCGTTGAGAATGAGATAAACACCAGTGTGATGTGACCCCCTCGAGGAAAATTACACCCACATTTAACGTACAAAATTGATCATCGCCACCCAATGTAGCCTATAGTAAGTGAGTCACACTAATTTTGGCTTTAAGGAAGGTCAGAAGTCAGATCGAAACTCGCCAGTCCTCCCAGTCACGATGACTAAACACTTCTGCGGATTCCGGGATTGCTTTACATGTGATTACGTCAGCGGCTGTATCTTAAAGAAGCGAGAAGAAAAAAAAACAACCGAAACAATTTGGTGGTTATTTTACTGCTTAATTAAATACACTTTATGTTTCAGTCAGTGTCCATTTAATCTTTGCTCATTGCTCTACTACACGGACATCGATTACCTTATCTTATGATTTTATTGTGGCAGGTAACAGATTCTACAGTAGGGTGTGGACTGAAGTTCACACTTTATGTGCTCAAAAAAACTGGCCTACTGAAATTCAAATCAATTTCCAAAAATAGTTCTCTGTTTTCAAACACATAAAGGCAGTCTCTTCCTCACTGCCCGATTAATCCACTGCAGCACTAGTTTCAAAGTGCTTTCTTAAAATAGTCTGAACAGTAGTAGTAAGACATCAGGCAAAATTTCATACATCATAAGTTTACTTGCAAGTAAAATTGTTACAGAGTGTAAACAGAAAACAGGCACACGGAGATGTGCTACATGTGACTGGCCTATACACAAAAAAATCATATCACACTTTAACAACAGCTTTTCCAAGGTCCGTCCCTTTCAGCATCCGGATGAAGGCGGCTGGCGTGTTCTCAAAGCCCTCAGTGATTTTTTCCTTCGCCTTCAACTTCCCCTGCAGAGCAGACATGCCATGACACAAAACCTCCATCAACAAAAGAGTAGAAAACTCCATCAACAAATGGCTACATGACTTTGAATGTTAATCAGTCATGGTGGAACAGAATGAACTATAACTTGAATACATTTGCCCAAACTTAGAAAAGATGAGAAAACTCATTAGCTCAAAATACAACTTTAATAGAAACCAATAGGCAGGTGCTGAAGGGAAATTATTAAATCCATTTGAGATTTAAAGACAGACTATTGTAGTGCGGTACTCCAGGGTTCTTGCAATTGCTCTATGTTGTTTTATTTGCCTGAACTGAGCTTTCAGTAGAAGACTTAGTCATAGTATTTCCAACTATCAAGATCAGACATGAAGCTCCTCAATTCTGATCAAGGTCTGAGTTATTTTCATAACACTGGGTTACTACATCACCTTGTGGTTATAGTCTATACTGCACTGTCCAAAACCAGTTCTGGAGGAGTACATCAGAATTTTTCCACCTGAACCCTATCTACGGCATATACCCGTTTACCAAAGATAATAATTTTGAGACAATTGCTAAAAATCTATTAAATCAATGCAAACACAATTAATTCAATATAACTATATGTTGTTTAAACCAGACAAGCTTTCCAACCTAAATAAATAGAAACATATGCATCAGAATTTTATGATAAAGTTAAAGGATGCTGTGTCAAACGTGGCAAATTTATTTCCAACTACAATACAAAACAGCTAATATGAGCAAGATAAAACAGCAATATCTTTTATATACATTACATTTAAAGTATACCTATCCCATAGTAATATAGTACAGTATTCAAATATCTGAATTTAGATGGGAGGATATGGACTTTTCTCATTGTTTCCCTTGTGCAGCTCACTAACTAACTCCAAAAAACAAACCCCACCATGTGGAGGCTGTACTCTAGCCTGTCTAGCTCTAATTATGAGCAGTTTTTATGTATCATACAGTGCTGTTTTACAGCTGCCAAGAGGATTAAATTAATATAGAGGTGTGAATTCTTTGACTTTTAAACACATAATTGAAAATTGTTTATGATGAAAACGTTACTTTTATGGTGCAAAATGTTTTTTATGGTAAATATCAGTTTAATTGCTTTTGAAATGTGCAGATAATATTGCTATGAGAATACAAGACTACATGGTACATTATACCCTGCGTTAGTTTGTGTTCCACTCTCTCCTACTCAGAAAATATTTCCAGTAGACTGTATAGCTGTGGAGGGCCACAGCACTGCAGAGTTTAGTGTTTTCCCTGATTTAATGCACCTTGTTAGACTCATCAGCCAATTACCAGGCACTTCATGAGGTGAAGTGGATGTGTCAGAACAGGGAAAACAGTTCCTCCAGAACAGGAGATTGTTTGTCGAAGTCTGAAAATGGACTTTTGCACAGTAGTGGGCTATGTTGGGATTTTGTAGTGGTGTCTGAAAACATAGTGGAATAGCTAGTGTACAAAGTCTACTGTAATAGGTAGTGTACAAACAACGAACCTTAGCATACATACAATATCTATAATGTGCTGCATCATTTTGCTATTTCAGGTGATGGAATTTGCCTGCCACTGCAAAATGATAAGCAAAACTCAAGAAACTTTAGAGTAAAAAATCACGAATTCTGTTCTATTCTGTTCTGTTAACTATATAGTACTTCTTATTTCTTAGTGCATAAAATAGGGATTAGGGACTATTCTGGACACCATACTGTTCTAGAATAACCAGATCTCTCATGATTACCACTATTACTTCATAGCTCTTGTTCTCAGATGTTCATTTGGTCCACTTGCCTCCTTCATCCATGTGACCAGTCTTCTGATAGACGCCTCGTCTTTGTCGGGCCACTGATTGGCCTGAAAGCCCTCGATTCTTAGACGGCGAGTTAGAATGGTCATGTGGGGATAAGGACCTACAATGAACACATAAAGCACTTTGATACATGGAAACGTCCATCAATATTTTTAGCAATATTTTAGGAATTAAGATTCAAGGCCTGTTATGACATTGTGTTACTACACCACCTAGTGGTTAAGGTCTATTAAACAAGCTATCGCTCTATCACCACTATTATCTCTCTGTCTCCTGCATCTGTTTTCAATAATTTCAATGTATTTCCCAGAAAAGAACAGAAAAACAGTTAATACACTTACAGTATAAGTCACTGCTTGTACTGCAAAGGTGCTGAAGCCAGTAATTTTTCTGTGCTTTTCCAAACAGAATTTTTTTGTCTGAAGTAACTGACAGATACAGCAGATCCAGAATAGGGTGAAGACGGCTGGAGTATCCCTTTAATTATGGCCCTAAGATAATTGCCCCAGTTCTTCATTGCAGAGAAATTCAATATGAACCTGGTAGCCAGTAATCTATTCCACGTACACTATCCAAGTGATATTAGTTGGTAATGGAAGTGTCACTATGAACCAGCAGATGATGACCTACATGTCTGAGGTGTGGTGGCATTGTACAGTGAAATTGCACCACACACAGCAATCCGTCCATCAGGTCTCATCTGATTCAGTGCTGCAGTGAAGAAAGGCCCTCCAACCTGCAAATAATGAATGCCAAAACCACAAAGCCATCAATTGTAAAGGCTGTTGTGACTGCCGGGCCCCTAACGTCTCAAGTTTACACCGTGACTCATGACTTCATCACTCAGTAGCTATGATCTCTTAACCCATGCAACAACTAATTTTAGTAGGATAAGGCAAAATGTCGTAGAACTGTCATATATTTGTTCACAGTCAAAACTGGATTTTGTATGTTTTTTTTAACAGTATGACAAAAATATAAAATTTGTTATGCTAAATTAAGAGATAAAAACACAGTTTTTAGCCACATAGTTAGGTCTATTAAAAATATTCTTTCAGATTTGTGCTCAGGCAAACATATCAACAATAAATGTAAACTTTCAGATATGGACATGAATGAGTTAATAATACACTTTAAGCACTGTCCTAACTCAGAGCACCAACTTAGTTGGGACTTAGCAATAGTGAGTGAACAAATACATTATATTCATATTTTTTTTATTTTATTGAAAGTAGTTTTCATATAGGGGCCCATAAGAGCCTAATATAAGTCTACAAGTCTACTATAAAAACATGCTATTTTAGCTAACATAACATTTCCCCATCTAAACCTACCCATCAGTCCACTTACGTTCTCAAAGTAGCAGTCGTATCCCTCAGGTGAGGCCTTCTTCAGTGCTTCATCCAGAGATGGTATAGTCTTGTAGTTGAAAGCATGGTCGAAGCCCAGTTCCTTCAGATAGGCCACTTTATCATCACTCCCAGCTGATCCCACCACCTTACAGCCTTTAATCTTACAGATCTGTCCCACCATAGTGCCCACTGCACCTGCGGCCGCGCTCACCAGCACAATCTCACCCGGCTTCGCCCGCAGCACCTCCTCCAGACCATACAGAGCAGTCAAACTAACACAACACAAAACAAGGAGACATATTCAATGATCCGTCATTTATTTAGCTCATCAGGCAGGAACGCAAATACATAGTTTTAGTACACTTCCACTTGTCACATTACTATTATTTGTTATATAAAGTGGTTAGGTAAAGTGGTTTTCTCTGAAATAAATTAAAAGATAAATAGTTAAATAATTAAACAGTTAAGTGTCCACATACTTCTGGGGCAACTGTATCTGCAATTAAATTGGCTTTATATTATTGAAAATTCTGATTCCAGACTTTTAATTGAAAACAGATTACATTACCCAGGCATCCCTAGTGCACCAACAGCCAGGGAAAGAGGAATCTCTTTAGGCCAATCAGGAAGGACTCGGGCCATGTCTTGGCTAAATATGGCTTTTCCATTGGTCACTGTGTGTGTCCTCCAGCCACAGGGAGCAGTTACATAACAGCCCACAGGAAATGCTGGGTCTTTACTTTGAAGCACCCTGAAACCAATAAAAAACAGTGTCAGGCCAAATTGTATTTGGTTGTCTTGGAGAAGAAAAGAAAATGAAAGAGGGAAGGAAGATAAAATCACTGAGATAAAGTTAAAGGTCTCATAGTGTGGAAAATTTTGTTTTCTTCTCTTTTTGAAATAGAAGATTGAACATTGCTGCAGTTGTAAAACTTCACCATCACTCCACAGTCCATACAGTTCATTTATGAAAACTAAACTGCAAAAGCAGCCTGTTTTGAATTAATTGTTTTTTGATGTCATGAAAACCAACATATTTATGTGTGTGAATGTATATGTCTGTTTGTCTGCCCTGTGGTGGACTGGTGACCTGTCCAGGGTGTTTCCTGCCTTCCGCCCAATGAGCACTTGAATAGGCTCCAGCTCCTCTCGCGACTCAGGAGGATAAGCGGCTTAGAACATGTGTGTGTGTGTGTGTGTGTGTGTGTGTTATTAGGCGTACAGCAGTTTAGCCCAACCCATTCACATTGAAGTTAAAGGCAGTGTTTCAACCTGTAAACCGTTTTTAAACGAGCCCCAATATAGGGCAGTCAATCAGATCAAAATTCATTTACATATATCAGTCTTAAAGGCACAGTAACATAAACAGCCTATTTAATTCTGAGGGATAAAAAGTTTATATATGTGTATATATTACAACAGAAAATTACAAAACATAATAGAACCCACAGGTGGTTGTTACGGGACTTTGGGGTAACAGAGAGATTGGTTTCTCTTACTTGGCCACCTGACCTCCAAACTGTACATCCCCTTCTTTCATTAGCAACCGACTCATGGCTCTGCAGAGAAACACCAGAGAGAGCAACAATCAGATTTGTGGCATGCAAAACAATGCAAAAGAGCAACCAGTTTGGACTAACAGAGGGCTTCCTTTAAAAGAGTGTCAAAGCCTTAAACAAACTCCAGGCACTGTTTCATGTACCAACCTATCCTACAACATTTTTTCCCATGGTATAAGTATTTGCATGCTTACAGACCTTTATTGAGAGGCAATGGCTCATACAATCGGTTTGAAAGGTACTATAGGATGAACAGGTTATAGTATATTTTAAGTATATTTGTTGATTCTGTAGCAAAAAAAAAGTGCAAAGGTTTTAAAGACATTCTGCAGTCACTGCCATAACTGTCCACACCCCTAACTGACAGAACTATGCAATACATGCTGGCCATGATCAAGCAATAAATAAACAGCATACATATAAATACAATAACACTGTAACTGAGAACAGAAAATTGTAAATGACTGCTACTGTACCTCATATATGGATCAAGACTGAGGAAGACAGCTTCTAGTAGAACCTCTGAAACGTTTAAAACACTGATCAGTAACACTGATAAAAGCACTAACAACACAGAACCCAGAAATTAGACGGCTACCTCCATCCTTGACCTCAGGTAGGGTCTCCTCTTTCATCTCAAAGTCACTCTCCTTTGGAAAGCCATCGAAATGCTTCCGCAGGACCCAGACCTTTGCTTTAACCATGTTTCTGCAGCAGTGAAAAGCTTTCCAGCGGAGTGTCCCAAATCTCGCTCCAGTTCAAACAACACCAAGGCTCTGCTTTTTATCCTAACACCCCACCCACTAACGGCAGATGTTTGCACAAGGAACCAAGTAGAAAGTTCAAGAGGCAACTGACTAACTATGATATATAATAACTAAGTCATTAGAAAGATATGAAAGATATGGCATCCCAGTATAATCCCAACGCTAGTCTTATTTTTTATTTTGCTAAAATATCAGCATTAGGCTGCACTGCATGGTGTTGCAAATTCTTGGCAGCATTAGCAAAGAGACTTTCATAAGTAAATTATATCTTATCCTGGCAGATTAGAGGTGATAGCAGAATCCTGTTTGGCATATCTGCCTTTTGCAACTCTCTACCAAAGTACAATGTATATAATTCAGGTACAAAATACATGTAGTTTATACTGTAGGCCCAAATATACATGAGTGCTTTACAGCTGTACTTATCAAAAATGAACAATGTAAACAATACATTCATCTCTTTAGAAAAAGCACAGTGCACTTGGCATTGAGCGTGTGAGTAGGCTCAATATTCCATCAGAGCAATGCATTCATTTGTCTCTCCCACACTTTCATAGTACAGTTGAGGGAGTGTCTTTCTATAGCAAACTTTCACACAGGTTAAAAAGATTAGATCACCGTGATTCAGCAGATTTTCAACAAAGAGTTCAGACGTCCTTAAATGGCCAGAATTGTGGGCTCCGTTTAGCCACACTAAAACACTAAAACTGATTTTCTCCCAAAGTGTCACTTTAATAAGAACTGTGACAGGTGCTGTCCAAGGTGCTCTCCAGGAAAGAGCAAAAGCATCGCTACTCACATTCATACTGACACTTTATTTTGAGTGGTCCTGTTTAGATGAAACAAACACTCAACAGACTCTCAGTAACATGTAATAAACATATGAGGGTTAGGATTAGGTTTTGGGTAGAGGTTAAGGTTAGGGTTAGGATTAGGGCCAGGGTTAGAATTAGGTTTTGGGTAAGGTTGGGTAAGGTTAGGTTTTGCGTAATGGAAGTAACATATTCACAATACATCTAGTTAATGTAAGTGATGTGTCAACAGAACATCTTCAAGATTTTTCAGATGCTTCACTACTGCTACTTTGCTGATATGTTGTTGATGTGTTACTGATAATCTGTTTATTCATCATATACAAAGGACCACTCTAAATAAAGTGTTGCCACATTCACTACTTCAGACTACTTATATACTCCTACAGAAGAAAAGACAATAATCTACAGTGCTGCAGAAAACATTAATTTAACAGAAAGTTACACAGAAGCCTCAACAACTAAATGTAAATCAAGTGTTTTCAGTATTTAGTGTGTCCACACTTGTATTACAGCCTCCATTCTTTTCAAGACCTACTTTTAGTTTTTCAAAAAAAACCCTGCAGGGATATTTTCCACACCTAGATAGTCCAATCTTAGAAGTTTTCCTGCTTTTCACAAGACAAGTAACCCCAAACACATAGGGTGGTCAGTCTATTGTTCTGCGAACACCAGCAGCTTCTTTTTTGTCTATTTCCTTTTCTCAGTAGCAGCTTCTTAACAGCTGCACATCCTTTCAGTTGTCCTCTCTCAGTGGAAGGATGGACAGAAACACCTGTGGATGTTTTCAGATCTGAAGCAAGAGTGAAGTACTGTTTATCTGATAGTGACAGTTTTGGTGGTCTACCAGGCGTTGCACAGTTGTTATGAGTCTGATTTTCCAGTTTTGGAAACTCACTTCCACTTTTTCATTATTTTTTCTTATATGGATTCTCTTCCAAAACATCTGAAAAATGCATAACTTGTGCTTAATGGCGGTTCTGACTGGAAATTAAATAAATGTAGAGTGGTCTCTGACTTTTGCACAGTATCAGACATAGCAACTGATGTAACAAAACCATTTATCTTTGAAACATTTACTTTATAGGAGAAGAAAAAAAATGTTCTGAACTTTAATATAACTCTGAAGTTGAGCATCATACTGTAATCAGGTTCATCCATATTAGGAACTCTGGGTCTAAGATGGTCCTTTAAAGCATTTATTTAAAATGAGACGTGTGAGTGTGAAGAACCTTTTTAAAGCTCAAAGAATCTCTGCAGTGTATATTTTTGCCACATTAGTTACAAGGCACATCTGCAAAGTAGAAAGTTGCAGAAGAGCAAAAAGTGCAAAAGAGGCAGAAAGTGTTTATACAATATAAGGGATCCAATGAGAAATTCAGCTCTGAAGCTCCAGGACTCTCTGAGTTTACTAACAGAGAGTGTATCCATTCTAGATGTGGCGCCTTCTCTGAAATATGTGGGCTATAAACAGACGGTCTTTTGAGCGTTGGGCCAAACATGAACTTCTTTCTTTTCAGAGAAGTACAGTAATGAAGTTTGTCAGCAAATGACCTGCAGATGGTGTTCATCCTCTGCACTAATCTGAGAGCAGCTCTGCTCTGTGAAACTGGACGGCTGACTAGTTGTGTGAATCACAAGCAAAAGAAAAAGGGGCCGTAATCCTCACAGTCAATATGATGCTGTATTTATTTGAATCACTACAGGAAAAGTCTAAATCGCAATGCCACTCCTGAAACAACTCCAGAGCTGTGGCTCTGCTCTCCTGAAACAATACAGGACAAATTCAGACTCAGCAATGCACAATGGAAATGAGAGGCCTGTAGAAAATCACACAGACAAACGTTCAGAAGGAACAAACTCATAAAGAGCGAGGGAGCTCTGATATAATCAACACATATTTAACCAATGATTACTGTACCCCCATCCTTAATTATAAAGTTATTACATCATAGAAACAATAGTAAACTAAAGGAAAAAAGTAGCCTGCTTTTTTCTCAAAAGACATTATTTTCAGACTTTTGTTTTTTCACAATTCTTCCACAGTGGAAGAAAAACTAGCTTCCTATACACACAAGTGTTCTTTGGCTTGTAACAACAGTGAAATCACTTTAAAAAGGATCTTTAATGAACCATTTACAAGTGTTTTTTCATCAGAGAAGGCCATTTTACTGTGCACAGAGCCATTTGTGCATTCAAATGATTCTTTGAGTGTTCGCAGTTCTATATTAAGGTATTGCCTTTATTAAATAACCTTAGAAGAACCAGCTTTAAGAGCACAGGCTTCCACAGACAGGCAATAAAGCTAATCAGCAAAAAGGCTTTTAGATACCCTAACACAGTAGTTCTCAATCCTGGTCCTGGAGCTCTGCCCTGCACATTTTAGAGCTTCTCCTGCTCCCTACACACCTGATCTAACTAATGAACTCATTGACAAGCCCTTCCTGAAGTGAACTGGGTGTGTTAGAGCTGAGATAGCATTATAACATGCAGAGATACATTAGAGTACAGTTCTGTATAAAAGTCAGAGACCATCCATTCATTTATTTAATTTCCAGTCAAAGCAGACCCTAAGTAAATGTTATGTTATTATTATAAATGTTATTCCAATGTGAGAAGACAAGTTAACACTATGAGTCTGAAAGGATAGCTGACAAGAAGACCTTACTGAGAAAAGGAAAATCTGGCCAGACCTGGGATAACTTGGATTGTAAGAAGCAGAAAATGCAACCAACTACCAAGACTGAACTTTGAAGGTGTGGAAAAATATCCCTGCATATTTCTGTGAAAACCTGAAAGCAAATTCCCAGAAAGAATGGGAGCTATAATAATGGTAAATGGTGGACAGACTAAATACTGAAAAAAATATATTATGTCAGTGAGGCTTCTGTGTAATGTTCTGTTGAATATATGTTCTCTGTTCTTTTTTCCTGATGATAAAAAACTAAAACTAACTTGATGATGCAAAAACTTTGGTTCATGCCTTCATTATGTCCCGTATTGACTACTGTAACTCGCTCTTTGTTGGTCTCCCTGTGAAGTCTATACAAAAGCTACAGTACATTCAGAACTCTGCAGCTAGAGTTCTCACTCATACTAAGCGTTCAGCTCACATCACCCCCATTCTCTTTCAGCTACACTGGTTACCGGTCCCGTCACGTATAAAGTTTAAAATTTTACTACTCACTTTCAAAGCCCTGCATAACCTTGCTCCCCCCTACCTCAGAGAACTGCTGACCTCTTACATTCCCTCTCGCTCTCTCAGGTCTTCTTGTAATAACTTACTTGCTGTCCCACGCACCAGACTTTCCACTTTGGGAGGGAGGTCCTTCAGTGCCATGGCCCCCAAACTCTGGAATTCTCTTCCTCAACCCCTCAGGGACTGCTCTTCTTTCTCCTCCTTCAAATCTGACCTAAAGACTTTTCTCTTTAATCAGCATTTTTCTTCCTCCTTCACATCTTAGAATTTTTTTTTTTTGGTTTGTTTGTTTGCCCATGCTATGTGAAGCGACCTTGGGTTTGTGAAAGGCACTATATAAATGTAACTTATTATTAACTTCTACTTAATGGCTGTTTTGACTGGAAATGAAATAAATAAAGAACACAGCACTTTTGCACAGCACCGCATGAACAGGTAATCTAATAATCTAATCTGGGACTACATTAATTCTGAATATCGCATGTAATGATGCATTTCAATCCTTCACCTTCTTCTGTAGTTGACCAAATGGTCTTTAACTTCTCAGATGTAAGAACATGAGTAAAACGGTCAAAATACTAGTTTTTAAGATAACACGTAAATTGAGCTAATATGTATTATGCTAAAATAGTAAATATAGTGAACATGAAAAAATATTCAGATTTTTATTCAATTTTTTTTTGAGTGACTGATCCTGACGATCAGCTTAGCCAGTGAACAGAGTTGATATTTCACTAAACAGCCAGGATTCTGGATTGATTAAATGCATCCAACGTGTCAGCTGGTACGCAACAGAATGGAGACTCAGTGGAGTAAGATTTCTGTGTTAAAGTTGCTGTACAAGATGCTTTAAAAGAAATGGCAGAAACATCACACTTTCTATTACAGACCAAAAGAAAACACAACCATCTACAACAGCAAATCACAGATTTTATTATATGTTTAGAGATTGAGAGCAAAACAGTGTTTATTTTATAAGCTTGAGAGTGAAGCAAAGTCCTCAGACTTTAATGATGGCCTTCCCTGTGTTCTCACCCTGTAGCATCCCCATGAAGGCTGCAGGCATGTTCTCAAAGCCAACAGTTACATGTTCTCTACACTTCAGTTTACCCTGCATCAAGAAAAGACAAGGTCAGGACACAAATCATGCATTAAAAAGCTCCTCTATATGCACTATGAATAGGAAGAGAGAGTGCCGGATTTAGGCAATAGACCACAAGAGGGAGCAAGTAATCCTGAAAAACATCAGGGCTGTGATTTGGCTGCTGGAGGACAGTCTTACTCACGAAACAAAAAGTGTTGCTTTTTCACATCAGTTTTGTAAAGGACAAAAATAAGCCCTGAACAGTGTTTCTAATATATGTTTTAATATTAGCAATTTGAGCTGAGTAACACAACTGTTGTTGCAGCTTAACAACCACCGATCAGTGTAATGTATCGTTACATTGTACGGTATAACGTGCTGTTATCAGACAACATGTAGAACATTTATGAACCAATTAGTGTGATCTGAACTAATAGCTGTTTAAAAAGCCACAACTTGCCTCCTGCACCCAGGCCAGCATCCTCTTCAGAGACTCCTCATTCTTATGCGCCCACCTGCCCACTAGAAAGCCTTCCATCCGCAACTCCTTAAAGATCATGTTCAGGTGGGGATAAGGACCTGTGGCAGACCACACACGTTTTACCACTATCATAGGTTTTAAAGCTGCAAGCTGTAAGATTCTGAGGTAGTGATAGATTTTGAATAAATATTACCTTAATCAGTAATCAAATAGAGTAGATATTGTAATCAATAACCAAACAGGTAGTATTGACTAACAGAATATTAATGCTCTCACAAAGGGTAGGCCTTAGTCTGTCTGCATAGGAGATTCTAGACACTGGAAAGCCCCTGGGTTCACAGAGAGGCCACTGACCCAGTGAAGAGAGGGGCAAGTTAACCTTGAAAGGTAAAGCAGACTGGTAAATACATGTTGAAACCAGTTTTAGGAGTGAGCTCATCATGCGATGACTAAATTGATGGACGAAGAGATGTACCTATTAGAAGATGAACTAATAGCAAAATTTGAAAAGTAAGGCGGGGGATATCAAATTACCCCAAATAAATGGTATATAAACGGTTGTTTGGAACACTGTATTTGCGCAGTTGGGTCTCTCGAGACTCTGTGCCACTTGATGCTGAAATAAAGAAGAAGCCTTTTTCCCTCTTCCACAAGTTCAGCGTCTGAAGACTCTTTCCTTTTGACATCTTTTGAGAACTTAAGACTTAAAATAGTTGTTAGAGTAAGTGTTTAGCTGGTATTAAAAGATTTATTTTTTATTCATAATATGTTGGAAGCCTGGGGTTGAAGGGGATAGCCATTGGTCCTGACAGTAGCTTTACTGAGACAGGAGGGGAAAAAAAAGAACAGGCTAAAATATGGTGTTGTGATTCACCCTGTTAGGTCTGAAATAGTATTTTTAAAAGCCAGAGGTGTCAATTTGGATTTCACGGGAGTTCACGGGGGTCCTATGCACAAACAACGTTACAAAATCTTTTTCTGGACGTTGCATGCACGTTCACATTTCCACCAGGGAGTTCTTCAAATCCTCAAAACCTACATAGCGAAGCATTAACATAAGTCACTACCTGTTGCAAATTACATCAACATATTGGGCAAGAATTTCTGGAGACTTCTTTTAGTTTTCTCAAGCCCTGCACAACTAAATATAATCTAAAACAATACTGGTAAGCTTTGTCTCAGTCATGTATGATGCCACACGTAAGGTAACACAGGATGGTACCTGATCACCCTGAAATACAGGAGTCTTTCTACATGAAAAGTGGTCATTATTGACCTTTAAAAGGAATTTATCTAACAAGGAACTGCTAGAAGCACTGCTCTGTCAGGTAGTAGGTTGTGCTGAACATCTACTGTTTCACACATACTGCCTCTGTATTACATGGAAAAAGTAGGTTTGACTCCTATTCTCTAGATGCAGTGCTGTGTCTGGTATGCACTACTGCACTGTTGGCACTCCAGTTAACATGAGTGGCGAAATGAAAAGCATTGCGTCACTCATGCACAGAGGTAGTATGTGTGAAACAGGCCTATCTGTGCGGCAACGATTCATTGCACCACCTTCAGGCCAACTGTGGAATGGCATCCAAAAATCAGGGTTTGCAGCTGAAAGGCAGACCTGTTTGGGGTTCTTCGTCATTGTACAAGGAAATTCCTCCACATACAGCAATCCTCCCAAGGCGTTTCATCTGCGGGAGCGCGACACTGGAGAAATGTCCACCAACCTGTGGAAAATGAATTGAGAACAATCAAACTACGAACAAATCAAGAACAGAAGGTAGGACAGAAGTTCTAAAAAATGAGTTCTTTTTGTATTGTTCTAAAGTTAAGTCAAGCAACAGTAATGGACAGTCTGGGCTAAAACTAATCCACTTTTTTACATTGTCAAAAAAGCATTCGTATCCTTCAGGTGAGGCCTGCTTCAGCACTTCCTCCAGAGAAGGCACGGTCTTGTAGTTGAAGACGTGGTCAAAGCCCAGCTCTTTCAGGTAGGCCACTTTAGCATCACTCCCAGCTGAACCCACCACTTTACAGCCTTTCAGTTTAGCGATCTGACCTACTACACTCCCCACAGCACCAGCCGCTGCATTCACCAACAGAGTCTCTCCTGGTTTGATGGCCAGCACCTCCTCTAAACCATACAGAGCTGTCAACCTGCAGAGCAATGGAAGGAAAAAAAGCATGTGACATTGCTAGGACAGTCATGATAAAGCAGTTACAAAAATAATCAAATATATAATGTGCACTTGTGATAAATTGGAAAGGATTGGTTGGTAATTTGCATGATAATGCATATTTTAAATTCTGGTGCTACTCTCACTTCCAATAAAAAATGGCCTGACAGACACGGTCATTTATAGTCATTTAAAGCATTTTTTTTATCTTTTTCTTTCAGTAATGTATTGTGGAATGACTTAAAGGCAATGCATTTGTTATTTTTCATGTTCATATTATCTTTTAGCAGAGACATCAAGAAATAATATCAGTACATTCATATCTACCCAGTACCTGAATCTGGACTTCTAAATACTCTTTAGAGAAGTCAGCTCAATGACAAATACATTTTGACAAGATGACTGAAATCACACACCACAAACTGGTCTCTTTCGGAAGAGAATATCTCAATTTACGCACTACAGGCTCTGCTGACATCGATGTTGTCATGGAAAAAGTACAAAATGAGAACATTTCTCAATAAATACAGGCAATCCCTAACAGACCTGAAAAAAACGTAATATAAATTTCCTTTATATAAAAAGTACCCTGAACAAGAAGGCACTGATTACATGATACAAATGTATAATCATTCAACATGAATACAATACATTACACATTTTAGTCTTTCAGTTTACACGCTCAATAATAGTTGATGTAATAAATTGTATTCATGTGGAAATGATACACATTTGAACCTAGTACATTCAATTCATCGCTTTATTTCAGTGCATATGAGATCCACTGTCCACTGAGTTTAGTTTGGAATTTCCAGGTTATAGATCATGATTATTTAGCATTACTTTAGTTTTACAAATCTACAAACTACACCACTACAGAAAAGCAGATGATCAAGTTTGTACCCTGGCATGCCGAGGCCTCCAAGAGCAAGAGAGAGGGAAACATCCTGAGGCCAGTCATTCAGGACCACAGTGAGACCAGTCCCATCTGATACCGTGTGTGTTCTCCATCCGCATTGACCAACCACGTGACACCCGACAGGAAACGCTGGGTTATTACTCTGAATCACTCTGGAGATAAAAACATAAAAGCCTTACCTACAAACATGAGCAGCAGTGACTAACTTTACAGAAATCTTTAGGGGAGTAACTTTAAAGTCAACCTGAAATCACTTTTTTACCATGTTAGTTCATTATGCAGTTGTAGCAAAGGTTTGAACACTCCCAGCCATATTACATGTTTTGTTGAATCTCTTGGTGAAAATGAGTTAACACTTTCTACAGGGAATACAGTTAAATATTATATTTTTTTGCAAACTTTAGTACACAAGTTCTGTATTTTTGATGAGTTTAATATAATGGAAAAAGCTTAAAAAATAAAATGAAGGAGTCCAAAAACACTGTCGACAACAATAGACCACTTTCAAGACTTTTTTTTATAAAACATGTTTGCAGTGAGCTTTACACAGGCAAGAAAAATCAGCACTTTACTATGATTAATACCACCTTTATTATAAAATTATCTTCCATTATACGTCTGTTTTTATTCTTTGCAAAAATTATTATACTCATTATTTCCAAAACTGTTACAAACCTATATACAGTAGATATAGAAATACACAAATATATAGAAATAGATATATTTTGCATGAGCTACATTTTGCTGCCACCCCATAATCTGACTGCCCCCAATAAACCATGTAATTTGACCAGAGACACGCAAATAACTACATTATAACAATTAAAAAGACAAAACTCTTACTTTGATTGAAAGTGTAGTGACTGTTTCCTGCCTCTAAAATGCCACCATATCTATATTAACCAACAATGACATGTTTTACCTCCCCCTTCTAACCACCCCAGCTACTGAGAGAAAATGCTCAGGTAGCAGGAACACAGCACTACAGTCAGAAATACGAGTACAGTTCTAATACATTCACTGCCATATGAATAACTAACAAACAAAGAAGGAAAATGTAGATTTATTTAGGTACTCCCTGAAAATTAGCATAAATATACAATGTTGGAATAAAAGTTCAGCATCTGCCACAGGACTTTCTCTAAGTTCACTAACAGAAAGCACAGCAAACATATATGTAACACATTTTTGGAGGGCTGTGGTCAGGGTTGAGAGGGTTACTTTAAAAATGTATTTCATTACAGATTACTGATTACCTGTTTAACAACATGATTTTAACCTAATCCAAATGATTACTATATTAAAGTAATGTAATCTGATTACTTTCTGTTACCTTTGGATTTTCTGTCTTTAATTAAAGATGTTTACTTAAAGAAAATTGAAAAATAATTTCAACGAGACTTTTTAACAAGAATATAACTTAGCACACATTAAACACAAATTTGTATAACTGTGCAATTTGTTTAAGTTTACACATGTATACTTAAATCTTAAAGTTCAGAAATCAAGCTTTGCTCCCCAGGAAAAAAAACTTAAAAAATCATTTTAACAGAATTTTTTTTTTAATTATAAATCGGTACTCGAGACTATTAAGTAATTAACGTAGAAAGATCCAGTGCACTGGATCAAATGCAAAATAGTTACAACTACACTACTGTACTGAGACGTTTCCTTATTTGACTTGTTTGTTAAAAATCTGTTGTGTTTCATGCCGAAGTCAGAAGATCAATCTGGTATAAATCTTTTTTTGAGACCCCTCATCAAAAATAATCATTAATAGAAGTAATTCTAAAATCTTTAACTGGTCATCATGTGTGTTGTATCTGCTCAAAGGCTGTTCATGTTGGTGCATCCTGCTTGGCTTTACATGATCATAATTTTTAGATGTTCCCTAATCAGCTCTCTCCATTAACATAGGCATTAAGTGGGAGCTGATCGTCTTGGTTACAAATAATGATAATTTATAGATATTTACATTTTGCATACATCATCGAAATCTACTGAAGAAAGAAATCAACACAAGTGAAAACAAAAAACTAACTTTGTGGCTCACAAGAATTAATTTGTTCCCTTTTCATGTTTCAGATTGTTAGTTAAAGCCTGACAGGGATGCACAACTCCGGTCCTGGAGGGCCGGTGTCCAGCACAGTTTGGAGGTTTCCCTGATCAAACACACCCACTTAACCTGGCAGTTAACAGATAAATGTAGTCAGCTGTGTTGGAAGAAGTAAATCACCAAATTGTGCTGGACACTGGCCCTCCAGGACCGAAGTTGTGCAGGGTTAAGGTTTTCAAAAGTTTGATTTATAGTCAGTCAAGATGTAGTATATTACGGAGCAACAAACAAGATTGAAGAGTTTACTGTCTGATCAGCTCAGTTTACTGTAGCAGAATCTGGCAATGAGGAAATCCAGGTTAAACGCGTGATTTGAATATCTTCAAGAAAATGCTGCAGATCTCAGTTCTGCCAATAAAAATAAAATACTTAACAAAATTCTATAGATTGGCTGAATAAAAACCGTCAACTGCTACTGGGGGGGGTCTTCAGAATTCTCTCCTGGCAGCAGGACCACCTCCCACCTTCCCTCAAATACTCTTTAAATCTACACAACTCGACACATTTATCATTAAAACGGTGAATTTCAGTGAAAGACAGCAAGTTTGCATTTGAATGTAATCCTGCTGGTAATCACTCTGGTTTTATAATCTACCTGTAATCTGATTACTGTCTTTTCCACTGCAACTGTCATAGATTACACTTACATTTTTGTTGTACTCTGATTACGTCATGCCGTTACATGCATTCTGTTACTACCCAACCCTGGTTGTGGTGTTGGTGGTGCTTGCACAGTTTCCTGATTGAGGAATGACACATTATGAGTTTGTGTGAAGAGCCATTTTAAAGGCTGTTACTGCTTGTCTGCATGTAAACATGCAGATATATGTCTTTTGCACTCTGAGATATGTGGGTTATACAGGGCTACCCTCTGAATCACTGATGGCTTTAATGGGCCATGAGAGCAAATAAACTGTAGATTGTACATTCATCCTCTACATGAATGTCTTCTTCTACTGCACAGGTTTGTGTTTCCCCATTTTAACACAAGTGAGTCATATTCTTTACTAATGAAGAAATAAGTTATGAGATGAATCATGTGTGTCAGAGCAGGGAAAACATGAAAAAACAACCTTTTTCTCTTACTTAGCCACTTGTGTTCCAATCATCACATCGCCTGGCTGCATTCGTACACGACTGTAAGGCCTGGAGGAAAAAGACAAGAACAGTCATGATAGATCAGAAAAAACGTGTCTTAAAGAAAAGAAAAAGGTTTCCTAAAAACATAAAGGAATATACTGTTAAATGGTAGAGAGCAGGGCACATTAAAAAGTGTTTAACTAGTAATGACCCTACGACATAATTACACTACCACTGTCTGCTTAAAGTCATGTATATTCTCTTAAAAACAAAGTTTCCTAAAGGGTTCTTGGCTTGAAAATTTGGTTCTAGAAAAAAGAGGAGGTTCTTTAAACTTTTAAAAAGTTTAATATGTACACAACTACAATTCCAAAAAAGTATAAAGGATGAAATATCCAGTCACCAACTACATTAGCAAATGTTGATCTTAAACTAACCTCAGACATATACTTTACACCAAAAGAGGAAGCTTGAATATTATTCTATGAATTAGAAGTTGCATAAAAATAACTGAGGGACAAACAAATATCAATGAAATTGATCATCAATGTAAAAAAAACAAGGAATTTGCAAAAAACACAATAATAACTAAGATTTGTTTTGTGTTTTTTAACCTGAAATTGTAAAAGATTTTACCTTTAATGTTTGAAAATATTTACTGTTTTTAAAATATGCTAAAACTGTTGTAAATCGATGCACATTGTAAAGTTTTTGTAGAATGATCCAGATGTTTTCTCACAACAAGAGCCTTACATTGCACTGACTGGAACACTTACCTCATGTAGGGGTCCACGCTCAGGAACACTGCTTCCACAAGCACCTCTGCAACCACAGTTACGCCAGAGTTACCAACAACAGGGAAAACACATATATCCAGTCCAGAGTGGAAAAACAAATCTTTTCAGCCACCAACCTCCATCTTTGGGCTCAGGGAGCTGCTCCTGCTTCAGCTCGAAGTCACTGTCTTTAGGAAAACCCTCAAAGTGCTGCTTCAGGATCCAGCTCTTAGCTTGAACCATAGTTCTTTGTTTGGGACAACCAAGAATGGAAAACAAGATCTTTATTTGACAAAATTGCCATTTCTTTTGCTTATTAGCTATAATTAGTTTGCCTAAACCTTTTTTGTGAGACGTGTTTAATCTCAACTAATTTACTACTGAAAGGTTTCTGTGATGTAGAAAATACATACATGGGTCAATGACAAATAAGGTTTTCAAGATGACAATCTTTAAAAATCTTATTAAACAGGACATGATGTGCATTTTTATATCTGGACATATATTTGCATTTATATCTATACGCATTTTATATCTTAAATAAAGTTAGTGTTATCAAAGCTTTAATTGCCTATTTCAGTTACTAAAACTGTGCTGGTCTGGTTGCACCATTTACTGGTTGTGTCACCTGACTTTTCAGACTAACTTCAAATTAAACAAATCTGCTTAAAAACCAGTAGAAATCTTTGTCCTTGAACTTGAGTTCGTACTTACATCTTTTTCAAATAAATAAACATTATTATAATAACTACACTTTTTCATGAGGTCAGACTATCTGACATGGTACACTGAGCCATTCTAACCATGAGTCAAAAATGACATTTTTTCCAAAGGGCCAAAAAGGGCTACTGACTTTGGTATTGCATCAAAAGCCACATGGGCCATCTTTATGATGCAACACCCTGGCCGCTCTTTCGTAAAAGCAAGTGAACATCCAAGTCTTTTGTTTTTGGCTGTTCCGTCTGACATTTGAGGAAGTAAAAACTTGCAGACAAAAGTTTTTCAGTGAGCTGAGTACCTTTTTGATTGCCTTATTTTGCAACAGGTAGTTGTTATCCAACAAGAGTTTTATCCATAAATCATGCCAAACTATTTAATTCAGAATTGTATATAACAACTACCTTTTTTGAAAGTTTACTTAATCAACATACATGGTTGGACAGTTGCACCACCTGACATTTTTGATACTTTTGGATGCAAAAAGAAACTGAGTTTAATATGGATGCATGGAATAATCTGATAGGTCTTGAATTTAACTTTTTGGGGAAATAATGTACTTGGACACACACACACACACACACACACACACACACACACACACACAATTTGCATCAATGACCCCTATATAAAAATGATTCGATCTTACACTTTTCATAGGTGAGACTGGGGTCAGACACAAAATATTATAACATCTGTGAGACTATATTTTCAGAAATATTTAAGTGAGAAAATCTAAAATCCATAGGTTCTTCAAGAGCTGAATTCTAGAAACAGGAGAGGTCTAGCATTGACTTCACATAGAACTTTATCACTAAGTGAATGAGATTAAGAGGAGACATTATTTAGGATAATTCTTCATCTGGACATGCCTATGTTTATACTTAGCAAACCTTAACAAAACAAACCCTAAACAAAAGAGAATGCATATGCATATACACACCAATCCTGACTGAGTATATAGTCACCCATTTTAGGTACTGAGTCAGACATTAAATCTGCAATATTGTCAACTACGTAGAACCAAGTTATGTGGCAGACGGAGCACTATCACTGTAACAATCTCGGGTTATATAACGGTGAACCTCGGCACAAACACGCCAACTTTCCCTCCTGAAAACTCTCACTGAGCGTCTAGCGCTGCCCTGCACGACCCAGGACGACACAGGCTTTTTACATGCCTTCCCGTGCACTTATGAGTAAAACGAAACCAGTTTATCAGAGATACAGTCCCCTGAACTATGTACCCGTTAACTAATCAGCTATAAACCCCTTATTTTGTCTCTACCTGATGTTCCTGTCCCTCCACGCCTGTGAAGTTGCTGCGGTTCAAGCAGAGTCTGTTGAACAGACCGAATGTGGGAGGAACTCTATCACGATTGGCTCGTCTCTGGCGAAATCTCCGCTGCTCTGATTCGCTCTAAGTCATGTCAATCACTCTCAGTGCACCAATGGGTTTCAGCGCTGCAACTGCATGTAGATATGTACTGAAGGAGTTTATAACCCGCTCACTAGTTCACAAAACATTTTGTGAAAAAAAATATTTAGCAATGCTACAGAGTTACTATAAGAATCTTATAATAAAATCAGATAATGATTAAAGTTTACTACAGGTAAAGCGGTACACTATTCGTCCTATATAATACTATAAGGCAGTTCAACAGGGATATTATGCTGAGGAGAATTTATTGTAAATTATTATAGAAATATTATACAGCACTACACAAACACTACGTGTTCTTATAAAATTATACAATTCTTTTTTAGGGTCAGAGAATGAAATATTTTGGGTTCAGTTTACTAAACTTGTTTTGGGGCTCTGCTTTCAGTACTGTCCGTTTTAAAAATGTCACATCAAAATGTCATAAGTACTAGTAATTAAATTACAATAAACGTTTGTTTTGACTACTGGCGTGTCTTTAAAATGTACATGCAGTTGTTTGTGCAATCTGGATAAATTAAAATGCGCCAAAAATGCAGACAGAATTTTTAAAGTAAAGCCCCGCCCAGTTGCGGTGACGTAGCCAGCAGCGCGCCCTTTTCGTTTCTGTAGTTTTGAACGAGCGTCCTGCGTCCGACAGACTCTCAGAGCCTTCCGAGATACGCCAGCGACGTGTGTACACGGTAATTCAGTATGTCTACTGTTTTATCAAAGGCTATGCATTTGCTCACAATTTAATCAGACTTTGTTTCTCTCTGAAATTCCCTCAGAGTACCGTTTCGCACCTAGCAAAGCGAGCCAACTAACCTAGTTAGCTAGCCGGCTAGCTCTACAGTCTCACTTGTGTCTGAACAGGGCCAGAAAACCGTAGCACACAGGTAGTAACCTAATGCGTTTATTCTGTCTGGGTGGTTTTGTTGAAGGACACATAAACACAGGTTAATGTTTCACTGCGTTTTAGGCACAGTGTCTGCGCTAAGATTTTTACCGATATATTGTTTGTTAGCTAACATTAGCGTTAGCTACTTTTTCTCAATTAATTTTCGCAGTTTGTAGCTGGCTAAATGCTAGATTGATGGGGTTTTGTTGCTTCTGATTCACTGCCGAGTCAGAATTAAGCTAGATAACCTAATTAGTTAGCTATTAGCATAGCAGCTAATATTTCTGAGGTAAATTTCTGAATGTTTCTTAGTCTCGTTTGTTTTTGTTCCTCTGAGCCCTGTAGCTTAGCTAGGTTAAGTAGAAACATCAGGTTCGTTCTGTAGAAGTTTTGTAACGTCAGCTAAGTTAACTTTATTCCTGTGTCAGAAAGAGAAAGTTAACCGTTTTTTCCATTTCTATGCATAATTGAATCGATCAGATGAAAATGGTCATTCAGACTGATTTGATTTGATGTAAAATGCTCCCTTGTGGAGAAGGTGGTGAGTTGTTTACAGTGGTGGTGACAACAATCGGAAATCTGAAGATTTTTCTGACTTTGTGTAAGCTTTTACACAAAATGGTAATGAATAGGCCTAATGCTTGGTCATAGTTTTATAATGTTTTGCATAAGACATTTAAAAGTCTGTTCAAGAATGGAGAGGTATATGCAGGACGTTGTAAGGAAAGTACTTAGAAACGATTTTTTCCTTTCTGTTTTGCCAGTGTTTTACTATCATCAGCGTTACTTATAATAAAACATTGTAGGTTCACTGTTCATTTTGTATAGTAAGTGACTTGTTTTCTGCTGTAAAGTGTCCGTAAGTTTCCCTACAATGAACGATTTTACCTCACATCCTTCTAAATCACTTTATTTACATGTCAACCATTGACTTATGCATAAATTTAGGGAAAAATCGAGGGAAATTTCCTTTTAGGTGACATGATTGACACGTTATTGTTGTTATTAAAAGTTGCTGACCTGAGGATGAAGAAGGTTGTTTGAGAATGTGGTGGAAGGTGCCTCCTCTCATTTAAACCGATTTGTGCCCTTCTGACTGGAGACTGTGGGGAACAACAAGAAAACCATTTGTCGTGCATTACCTGCAATTCTGTTGTTACTTTGTGTCATGAGATTGTATTGACACACGTCTACATATGAATGAAAGCAAGGTGGTAAAGGTTTATGGCTGTTCTTATTTGTAAATGATGTCAGTCCTCAAATATAGTCCCTGTTCCTTTTAAATATTTTCTTCATGCTGTACAAATCCCATTTTATACCCATATGAGTGTGAAGAACCTTTTCAAAACATTAAGATAATATAAACCTTTGAACTCTTAAGCACGCTCTCAAATATAGGTCTTTAGTTATCTTGAAAAGTAGTTCTTCTATGGCATCTCTGGGGAAAAAAAACCCTTTGGGCACCCGTTTTAAAGAGTGATGCTGTTTTTTTAGTATCTTCACTGTTTTTGACTCTGAATAAATCAAAGCTGTCTTATCTCAAAATTTACTGCAGGGTAAAGTGTAAACTTGTTTGGGGGATCCGATTTCAGTCATGCTCAATGGGGACAGGTTCGTTGAGGCCCTCTCGCGGTTGGGTTATCCAGGTGTGTCTTCACTGAAAGGTTCAGAATTCGACTGGTTGTTTGATGCTGCACCGGACAACCTGCATCTTTTGCGCTTCTTCTGTCATCGAGTGAACCAAAACAATGTCCTCACGCCAGAAGAAGTGCAGGCGTTTCGGGTCCTACGAGACTCTGGAAAGCCCATTTTGGATGAAGCAACACTTCAGGACCTGCTGAAGACTTGCGGAACAAATGATGGAACTGTAGGTGCTCGAGGGTCTCTCCCTTCATTGTGTGTAGAGGGAGATGTTTCTGTGGAAGATTTGGAGGCTGAACTCCAGGCTTTACGGAAAGAGAAGCAGTTGAAACTGCGCAGGCTGAAGAAGCTCCAAGTGCTGGCTGCTAGCCGTGGAGCTGACTCATCAGCAGCTCAAATACTCCACCAGGAAGGAAGCACTGCAGTGAAAGATGCCAGTTCAGCCCTCGCAGTTGAAAATGCAGCCACCAATGCCACTTTAGAAGGTCTTGTGAAGGAGACCACAAAGCTTGCTGGTTTCTTCGATGCTGAGGTCCCATTAATAGAGAAAAAAGATGGAGTCATCCCAGCAGTAGCTGCCCAGTCAGGGCCACCGGTGCTGCTGTCTCAACTGCCCCTGGAGCCCTACCTCCGCCAGGAGGAGCAAAACACCAAGGCTTTGGCGGCCTACACCCAGCGACAGTTCTTCCAAGGCATCTCTGATATGGTGGAGAGCTCCTCCGCGAAGCGCTTCCAGCCAGTGGAGCTGAGCTGTTGCAGTGAATGTGAGGAAGAGGAAGATGAGAAGGTGGTGGAGAGTAGGAGGAAGGAGATGGCCCAGCTGCAGTGGGGTCACATGGTGGCGCAATATCAGCTACTGAAGGAGCAGGCAGAGGAGCAGGGAGACCAGGCGCTGAGGGATTGGCTTACTGAGCAGCTAGGCAGCCAAACACAGGTATGGCATACAGCAGATTAAAATTAGACTGTCTTATTCACTAATAGGGGTGTAACAGTGTCAGGTTCAATACTGTGCAGTGGTTTGGGGATTTAGTATATTTGTCATTACAGCAAAAATAAGCTCCTGAAGTTGTCCCTTGTATTAGTATGGTTTTGTTCCCATAGTAAATGAATCATTAAATGTGATCAAAGAGACATGATCAGCTGGAAAATGTATGCTGAATGCGGTGTGCAGTATGTTTTTTGAAGATTTTTTTTACTTTCTAGGCCAGTTACAGTCAGTTCCAGGATTTTTGCACAGTTTGGTGATTTCCCTGCTCCACTGTCCCTGATTGAACTCTGGGTCAGAGTCACTTACCAGGTTTGAGTATATATGTTTTGAGCAGGAAATCACCAAACTGGCTTAATTCTCCAGGACCAATATTGAGATCCCTGTCCTGTATATATTGTGTGTGTGTTTTTATTTATAAAAATAATTGTGCCTCACTAAGAAGTTAGATTTCCCTCATATTTCCAGTGACGCTGTAGATTTGGTCATGGTAATATTGCATCACCTAAGGTTCATTTCTTTTTCATGAGGTTTAACACCCTTTTTGCTCTTTCTCTGCTCTATTCTCTGCTCTAACATTGTCATAACTTATATTTTTTCATTGTTTCTATCTTTCTCTCCCACATGTAGCCCCTCAGTTCCCTGCAGGCCTCTTGGCGTGAGCCTGCTCTCCAGTCCGAGCTCCTGTCCATCCAGTCTGACCTTGATATGTTGATGCGCGACCCTGTCCGCACGGCTCTCCGGGAGAGTGCCCGTCTGCTCAATGTGCCTGTGGTGCGTGGTGATCTGGCCCTTCAGATCTCCCGGCAGAACTATTACACTGCTCGGCAGTCCGAGGTTAGGGACCAGCTGCTCCACCAGAAGGCCTCATTTGAGCTGGTGCGTCTGGCCCAGGATGCAGAGCTCCGCATCGAGAGGAGGACTGTGGCACAGCTGCAGGAGGTAGTCCAGAGACTGGAGGGAGCATCTGAGGCAGCAGCTCAGAGACTGAGCACTCTGTCCCTGCCTGAACTGACCCATATGCCCTGCCTTGGGCCTAATGCAAAGACTGTCATTGGTTCTAAGGATAGCGCCTTTAGCAGGTAAGAAATTAATTATTGTAGAAACAGACTTCCGCTGTTCTGTTGCACGGTCTTTGTAGCCTCACTAACAGGTGTTCATTTAGGTGTTCATTAAAGTTCATTAAAGATTATTTATCCAAAAATCTAATTCATACAATCTTTCTCTAACCCAAAGTTTAGCAAGTCAGCTAAAACCTTTGGTGTATACTTGAGCACAGAGTCTAATGTAGCTAACAAGCAACGGACGCAAATAGCTACCAGTTTATTATTATGCAAACTGAATGTCTAAATCATCACACTTGTCTCAAACCACTTTAAAATCGTTAAGTAATCTGATGTAAACTGAGATTAAGAAGTAAAGACAAATTTTTGGCTTCTAGATGGCTGCTAACACTAAAGATGTGATGTACTTTGTCTGTTTTTATAGATAGTAATAATCTCATTGTCATATGGTATCTCAAAGCACCTGAGCAAGTCTGTGTGTAATTACTTAATAGCTATTTATGGTTTGAGGCAAGTGTGTGATGCAGTTTACACACTACTAAAATACTAGTGTATTGTCCGTCAGCTGTTATTTATTAGCCTCGTAGCTCCAAAACTGCAAAACTAAGTAAATTTAAACACACAACCTGTTTTCGCTTTTTACCTATATTTGGGTAGGAGGAAAATTGGCTAAATAAGGGGTGTTTTTGAAGTATTCTCTCTCGAAATTTCAAAGTTTCTACTGACATTTAATCTTATTTTCCTTTTTAATTTGGTTTCCTTAACTTTACATCATTTATGTAATTTTCTGTTTTCTATTGTGTGTGTCAGGCTGCTGCAGGTTCTGGAGCTGGGTCAGACCTCTGAGTGTAAGGATCCTCTTCAGACATTCGGGAGGTTGGAGGCTAAAGCCTCTGGCTTGCTTGAGGAGCTTCTCTCCGTTCGTGAGGCTTTGGAAAGGGCGTCTCGTGAGCAGGGCTATGCTGGTGTGCGTTTAGAGCGGGATCGAGACGCTCTGGAGAGTGCAGCTTACTCCCTCATCATGCAGCCTCTCATGAGGCCGCAGGTACGAGCTACAGCCACACCTGTTCAGGAGCTCTGCCCTAATGCACAGGTACGTCTTACTTTCTCTTCCTTTTCTTCGCTGCCATCCTCTGCTTTGAAACCTCATAGGCAATGTGAGTTATTTCTACTTGTTAGTATCTACATTTTCACTGCATGGCACATTAAGTTGTTGTTAAGGGAGCACAAGAGGTTTTACTGTTTGTTGATGGGTTTACAGGTTTCTTATTCATGTCTGAGTTCACCTTTTCAACACAGTTTTGTTTTCTCTTCTATGTTGGATGAACACTCTGAATTCTTACTGGTTTTGTATTTTTAATACCCCTTTTTGTTTCTTTTTCACTTACTGTACTTGTCATGTATCATAACTCCAATTCCTTCTAATCTTCATTAGGGCTGCACAATATATAACTTGTTAACTGTTATCTTGATATCAGCTTTTTAAATATTTTATTGAGTGTTGGGAGTGGGAGTGGGAGTGGGAGTGGCTTAACTGACCCCGATGTGCCAGATAGGTTTCTGAGGGCGTTTAGCAAACAATAATACAGCAAGTTCTTAACCTGATTGAAGGATTCCAATTTTTAAAATATATTGTATATTGTGTATTTAATGTATTGGAAGTTATATTGTACTGGCAGTGTAGTAATATAGTCAGAATATGGAGTACCATTTATATTATACAGCTGTAATCTTTGTATACCTTCAAAAGCTGTGGCAATAGGTTAAAAAGTATTTTTTTTGTTTCTTATTTTATTCTTTGATTTATATTGATGTTTTGAGAATTTCCCTGTTGTGGGACTACAAAGGATTATCTTATTGTTAATTTAGGCATGATGGAGCATCAGTGTTGCTTAAATTTCTGTATGTTAATTTTTTTGTTGTCTATATTCATTCCCCTTTATTACATCGGAGTAAGAGTAATGAACCATTGCAAAACAGTATGTCGTTATTTTGCTGTCACAGACACATCAGCAGAAATAATACAGCGAGGAATTGTTGTGCAACTTGTTTAGTGTTAAAAATCTCTAAGGTCTCTATCTATTTTTGTCCCTTTGTAGGAGCTGTCTGTGGTACTGAGTGAACTGGAAGAGAAGCAAAAAAATCTGTATAAGCTGCTACAGGATGTTGTGGGAGACCTGAGGATCAAAAGGGCTCAGCTGGAGCAGAACGCCACCCTCAGGCGAGAAAGAGAACTGTATGTCTATTTCCACCTGGATCCTACACTGCTCTGCAAGGCCGTGAGGGAAATGGAAGTCCGGACTAGTGCTAAATAGGTTGAATAAACAGGGCTGTTTGCACCAGTGACCCTGTATCTGTGATTATGGCTGTTCATATGGGTTCAGCATGCATGGAAATCAGCCTTGAATCTGGAGCCTGAGGAGATGTAGTGCAGTTTTCACGTTTTCACTCAAAGAGTGTATTGTTTGCTTTCATGCACCTTTCTGTTCTGGTGCCTTTTTTTTTTTGTTTGGCTAGAAAGTGCACTTTGTGTTTGGTTTTTTTGTGTAATTAACTCTGAAGAATTAAAATTTTTAATAAGAAACATTGTTACTACTAATAAAAAGAGCATAGACCTTATTCTTGAGTGTTTCCTGCTTTTTAAGTATGAGGGTTTGATGTGCTTGCTCAGGTGTTGTTATCTGTGGAGCTCAATGAGTATTAGCTTATTATAGCTGTGTGTTCTTTGTCCCAGAAAAACAGCCACTTCAGGAAGGCAGAAGTGGGTGATTTATGTAGCCAACAATAGACTTTGCCTTTGCTATATATGAGCTTGCAGATCGGAGCTGCAAAACATGGTGCTTGTTTTGAATTTTAAGTACATATACAGTCTTAATTTGGGCACCCCTGGTGAAATTATGGTTTGTTGATTTTCTGGTTGCAAATAAATCCCTCTCATACAGGGAATCAGCTTAAATATGGCATACATCTATTTATTAATTTATTGAACATTTGCTGCAAGTGACATAATGTGAGAAAGAAAAACATAATATGTGTCTTGTGCAGAAGTTTTTTTTTCTTTCCAAGTGTGTTCAATGCAGCAAATAAATAGAAATGGTGCATTTAAAAGTAAGTTTGGATAAGTTTATTTTAGTTAGAGGATATGTTATTTTTCTACATGTAATTTGACCTGAGATTTATTTATTTTAACATAAGATTATAAGTTGAAATGTCTGGTCAGAACTGTAGTTGCCTTTTAAGTTTACAGGTAAGCTGTGCAACATGTGAAAAACAACTTGTCTATGTATGCTGAACACTACTTGTCCATGTTTTAAGACAGGCAGTGAGCGAGGGGAGGCGCAGACAAAATGGAGAGTCACTCTTGCCGCACACTGACTGCAGGCCCTCTGTCTTTGGCTGCACAGACCGTCATGGCTGCGCTGAGAGCACAGTATGCAGGCAGAATACACAAGACCAGACACAGTGAGTTAGGGACAGCAGCAGGAGTTACTAATTTCATATGGGTTTAAAGCAAGAGAGCCCATTTCTGGTTCTGGAGATCTAATGGTCTAGAAAGTTTAGTTCCGGCACACTTGGCTCTTATAATCAGATGATCCTAAAGGTTTTGATTAATTGGGTCACATGTCTTAATTAAAATTGGAACTAAACTACAGAACAGAATTCCTTTGTTGAAGATTAGTCTGTAAAATAATCATGGTTTTTCACTGAGTTACGGTGAAGATGTATGCAGGATTGTCTATGCTAATCTTACTCAGAACCAGAATTTAATTTTTTAGTTTTACAGTATTAGAGATGCTTAAATCCAAGAAGTTTTGCCTGTGCTTTTGCTAGTTATAGAAGTTATAGTGTTTTGTTTAGTGTTTTATGTTGGAAGGCCAAGCAGTTGACCTCTGGTCAGGTAACTGTCCAAAAGTCAAGATTGTCTGATAAGAAATATTTTAAAGATGTTCTCGCTGGACTGGTTCAACTTCCAACAAATGTATTAAGAGGGCCAGTTTCCCTGAGCCTAGACTAAAATAAATTTTCAGTGGTGATTCATTGTGGGTGTTGCAGTTTACTTCAAGACTGGGCTTAATCCATGTCCAGGAAACTGGCCCAGAGTGTTTGCCGATAAGTAGTGGTGGTGTTCTGTCAGGACAGAGAAGTACAGTGTTTTGTTGTATTTTAAATAGTGAACTCCTTCACTGGAGAGCTCAAGCTGAATCAAGACAACTACAACTATAATCCACGTTTTGAGCTACACAGAGAGACCAATATGTGAGTTTTAGTTGTGTATAAGTCGAGAAATTGCCTTCTGAGTACTTTTTAACTATCTTTAAAATACAGTTGAAAGACTGCCCTTGCACTGCTAGTTGTGTGTTATACATGTACTGTGAATCAGTCCTTGGCACAGGCCTCATCTTAGCTCCAGTTCCCCGATGGAGAGAGCAGTACAGTCTACCCAGACAACCCCTACAGAGTCCAGTGACTACACTAAGCCACCATGGAGGCTGTGAGTATAGATGCCCGGTCATTTTCTCAGGTCTACACATCATAATTGCCTCTTGAAGTCTTACATCTGCAGAAATGTTCTGGAAGTGGGCCTCAGTGCCAGTATGATACAGAATGACACAAAAATCTTTACTTAAATATGGGGATATAACATCATTAGTCTTTTTCTCTGCAGTCTCCATGAGGGGAGAGAGCGACCATTTTTTAACCATTCCCCTGAGATGGAGCTCCCAAGTCAGCCTACCATTTCACTGTTCCAGTCTAAAAATAACACGTGTAGTCAATGGGAAACAGATGAACCAGGCAATTCGAAGCTCAGGGATTATGGAGGTGACGGCAGTCTGTTAGCATTAAATGATAATGAGATTACAGTGTCTGGAAACCATATTCTAAAGATACATCCACAAAGAGATGAGCCATTCCCTATGAAAGCCTTAGCTGACTGGGGAAATCCACAGGCTGTACCAGATGCCATAGTGGTACCAGAGAAACAGAGAGAAATCTCCAGAACAAAGAAAAACGTTCGACTAATGTGCCTCACTGAGGATGCATCCGAAGCAGAGAGAGTGACTCACGCTCCCCCTCGGAAGCATTGGAGCTTTGGTCATCTGCAGATGCCTGCAACGAGCTGCTCCAAGGACTTTATTGAAGAGCACTATGAGCAGAAGAGTGACTTTGGAAGGCAAAATAGGGAAGGAAGTTCTGAAAAGATGGAAGCTGACTGCTTTGAAGGAAAAACAGAAGCAGCTGAGGGAGTGATGACAATGCTAAAGCAAAGGAAAGATCAGGATGTTGGGATGTCAGAGAAGATTCAGTTGAATGGACTTTGGTCTGAGGGCCCTGACAAAGAAAGTGTAGTATGTGGAAATGGACAAGAAGGAAATAAATTACAACCAGTACTGTGCCACAGTCATTTGAAAGACATCATAGAGAGTTCCAAGAGAGAGCTTCCGAAGAGTAGTCTAGACCTAGCTGACTCATCGAATTTTGATCACATTACAAATGAAGAACTATGTCCTCTAAGTGAGAACGATTTGCAAGAGCCAATTCAAAAGGTTTTGGATATCCCCAGCGTTCCTCTTACTTCAGCTAAAGCCAGAGGGTTTGACCAAGGCAGACTTGTCAGGGATGATGGATTAATGTACACAGTAAAAGAAATGGAGGAGTCAGGACCATGGGAAGGGGAAAGCACCTGTGACAAAACTGGTAAGTGTAGTGCTTAAAGTAACCAGTAGGGGGAGCTCAGACTCTTTGTTTTTGTATGTTTGTTTGGCATCAAAGCAACTGTGCTTAAGTGCTTAAATGGTTCTTTAGACAAGTCCTGAGGGACCTCTACATTACGCAGTTTAGCATTTCTCCCTTCTGATTCAACTCATTTTCAAGTCCTTCACCTTGAATCAGGTGTATTAGAGCAGAGGAAATGCAAATCTGCAATAAAATGTTTTGTAGTGTGCTTGTAAAATACAACCTTGTCTAAGACGCTGAGTCCTTAGTATTTTATTTTTCTCTGGCTTAGTTTAAGAAAAAGGCTGCATTTACAGCCCAACCAGGCAGTTTGCTGACATCGGCCAGTTTTAGTTGCCTGAAAACAGTTCAACCTTTTTTTTACACAATGGTTACGATGCAGGTAGGAATGAGTCAGCAATAAATTACAGGTTCTACCATATATTCAAAACATCTATTCTATTTCTAGACAGATTAAATCTGCTAAAAGAAACATGCAGATTCTTAACGTACAATATTCGTTAGTTTTTGCATAATCTGCTCATCAAAGAGAGTAGTCTATCCATTTGCAGTTTTCCACAAACAGTCTACACTACAGATGCTGATTGGATAGATATCAAAGTCAGGGTTTGCAATGTGACAATATTTAGTATTATTGTGATAAATAACGTTACTGCTTTTTTGTACTTATTGTGGAAATCAAAGAACACAGCAAGTATGTATGTAATTATTCAACAATAAACAACTGAATGTTTCATTTTAGACAGAGCCTAATTAGACCTGTTTTAGTTTAGTTCACTGCAGTATGTGAGAGGTTGAGTAAAAATCATTGTCTGCGAAGCACTGAAATGAAAATTCTTGATCAAGACCAAAACTGATTCTATTCTTTATAATTTGCTGTTTTATTTTTGCATTGGTTTAACATAATAATTCTGATGATGTTTCAAAGGTGGTAATCATCATATTGGGAAAGAAAACTGAGAGAACTGAAGGACAAGTGTAACTTCTTAAATAATAATAAAAATTACAAGTTAAAATTGTGAAAATGTAATACTTCATAGTTTCCCAAAGGCATCTAAAGCTGAATTCAAATGCACCTCTGCTGTAATGATGGAAAACACCTTTTTTCTTAGTATGTAAAGGCTTTGAAATATACAGTCCTGTCTAGCAATCTGAAGTTTCTCCACCAGCACGCAAGTCACCTAGCATTGTTCATCAAATGTTCATCATATATAGAGAAGAAATCACCATAAACTTCAGCAGAATCTAAACGCACATGCTTGCAGTAAGAACTTTCAAAACAAGAAGTACAAAACTTTACTACCAAAAAATCTTGAGTTACTGAGTATTATTTAATATTTCTGTTAAAGAATTTCATTAATGAATAAAGGTGTTTTTTCTGTGATTTTGTGATAGTATTTTTTCTTAAATGTGTCAGAAATCAGAAAAACTAAATATCTGAACGTGTATTGTGTATCGCAGAAATATCTTGAAGTATTTTGATCTCATATTTTTACAATACTGCCCACCTCCACATTATGGATTTTTATGCCATTGTATAAATCCTGATCTATTTCACCTCTAATATATTTTTGTCATTGTGCTGTCAGTGCTCTACAGTATGTGCTGGAGGCTGGAGTAATGTTGACCAAGGGAGCTGCTGTATGTGTGTGTGTGTGTGTGTGTGTGTGTGTGTAGAAATAAAATAAAAATAATAAATAATAATAATTCTCACACACACACAGATATTTGTATTTAATACGTGTGTGTGTGTGTGTGTGTGTGTGGTCCCAGTGTTGATATTAATTGATTTATCACAGTTGCCACAGTCAGCTATGCTGAAATGAGCACAATGATGTCTATTATCAGCTTACATTTGTTTGTGTGTACATGTGCATTTGTGGTTGTACAGATTTGTTCATGCCTCATCCAGATGAGAGATATGTCCAGATGGAAGCTGAAGTGAGTATTGAACAAGAGCACAGTGCAGCTTCTACGGTCCCAAAAACGCATACCAGCCACCAGGACCTCTTACAGGTAAAGAGGGAATAATGGAAAATGGCCTATACCTGGTGTGCTCAATCCTGGTCCCAGAGGTCTGCCACCCTGGAGAGTGAGTCAACTCATCTGGCTCTAATATTCAGATGTTCATTACCTGGGTCAGGTGTGTTAGATTAGGGTTGCAGGATCATAGTTTTCCAGGAGCAGGATTGGGCACCCTTGGCTGCGTTGTGCAGTATTGATAATATTTGATATCATGATATTTTCTAAATATATCACTATATTTGGGGATAATTACGTTAGTCTTAATGAACCTAAGCTGTCTCAGTAGTTGTACTCTTTGCTAAAAAATCTTAAAAGGCTTGCATAACTTGGTTTAAATTGATTGATTTATTTCTGTTTCTTCTCTTAAAAATACACCGAAGGGAAGCTTGGACAATTTTGTGAGCTCTAGGCTTATTATTATTATTATTATTACTTTTATTATTACTATTATTATCATTATTATTATTATTGTTAAACATATTGTCCAATAACTACTACTAATAGATTTAATCACCCTTGTTATATATCTGTTGTTATACAGGATGAGAAAGTATGAGCTACATGGGGACCTTTATGGTGGCTGCTTGCATTGAACATCATCATAAAGTATTTATTTTAAATTAAAAGCTGTGAATATAATTTATGTTTTATGACTGTAAAGATAAAAAGTCTTGATACTTAAACTTAGGGTCTATACTTCAGTATATTGCACATAAACATTTCCCTGAAGAGGTGCTCACCTAAGGTAAAGGTCAAAATTAAATGAAGATGTTTTATGCAGGTGACCACAGGTTTTAAAGAGGCACGTTCGGTGCAGAATAATAATAATAATAATAATAATAATACTAATGGAGTTTGCATGTTCTCCCCGTGTCTGCGTGGGTTTCTTCCGGTTTCCTCCCACAGTCCAAAAACATGCAGTCAGGCTGATTGGACATGCTAAATTGCCCCTAGGTGTGAATGTGTCTGTCTGCCCTGCGATGGACTGGTGACCTGTCCAGGGTGTATCCTGCCTTCCGCCCATTGACAGCTGGGATAGGCTCCAGCACCCCACCGCGACCCAGAAGGATAAGCGGTTTAGATGATGGATGGATGGATGGATAATAATAATAATAATAATAATAATAATGGTTTCTCTGTAGCACTCTTTTTATAACCGAAGTTGCTTTACAGAAACATCATCCACAATGATATCAACGGCTACAAAATCACAGACAATGATGGTATTGAGAAAAGAGGAAGGTGTTTTGAAAGAGGAAAGTATGGGTGCTTTCTCACCTGCCTTTGTCACCAACTTTTACTTTAGTTTTGACAGGTGTGAACATAGTCTGCCAAAGATCATGGGTCTCAGTCCGCTTCCACGTGAACCCTAGTTTAATTTGCTGCTGGTGGGAACGCAATTTATGATGGTCCACACCAAATGAGGGGATTTAACACCAGAGAATGCTGTTCTTAGTGCACATTAGCACTGTACTGTGCATAACCTGCATAGACTAAAAGTTTGAGTCTTAACAGAGGGTCATGTTGTTGCAGCATGAGCTGCTGGTAGTAACTGCAGATGAGCAATAATGAAGCATTTGATTCATCCATTTTATGCAACATAACAGGTAGCATGATACATTTTATGAAGAATGTAAGGGAGAATAGATGTAAATTTTAAACTATGATAGGGTAGTGAAGTAAAATAGAAAAGTAACAGTGCTTGTATCTCTGCCAAATTTCTGTCCAATCAAAGAACACAAAGAACTCCCATGTGTATTTAATTGTGAGTCTAACCAAACTAAATTAAAACTATAAAATCTCACAAAAGCCCTGCTTTGGTGTGGACTTGTGTGAGAATATATTGTAATAGAGTTTTATAGTTTCATAGGGCTGGACGATCTAGCCACAGCCCCCCCTTCATTAGGAAGGCCTACAGATACACATGTTTATTCTTCTCTTTCTTATTAGGTGAGCAAGTCAGCTCTATAACTTAACATTATCTCGTGGCATTAGGGCATGCTAAACGTCTATTAGCGTTGTTTTAATGTGGTCATGCTTAATGCGCCTCTTAGCTTATTTAAAGGTCATTGTCTATTATGTTGTTAACAGTTTAGCATAATTCAGTGTCCCACAATAGTTGTATAAGACATTCTAATATATCCACTGAATGTAATTAGTCTGAATTTAGCTCCTGGTTTCACCTCAAATTTTATTTATACAGTTTTTAGCTCTTTGAGCAGAAGCAGCTGAATCACTTGATTCCTGACCTCTCTAAACTGCTCTGCAACACTCTGCTAGGATTTGCTGACAACAAAAGTTTGTCCTGTAGTGTGTGTATGTGTGAACTCCTGCATGTTTATGTTGGGCATTCATTGTGTAAAGAGCTTTAGAACTGTTTAAAATGCTGCTCAGGAAGAAATGGTTCATCTGGGAGCAGTTAAAGTTACAGTGATTGACCTCTGCATTCCTTGTATGCAGAATTGGCCATAGTGCAGTCCTCAGCAGCACTGTAATTCACTGTGGGTATGTGCTGCCTGAATAGATGAATGTATAATCGCAGCCAGAGCTGCTTCAGTGTACAAAAGATAGATGGGACGCGTCCTCTGGGTGCTGGATCATAGGATAAGACCACTTTTCTTGAGCAGAGTATCTGTACACACACAGCCCTACTCTTGCAGATGTTTGTTCATTAAGACCCACATAAGCAAGTGAATTTAATTGAATCTGGAACTACATGGCCAAAATTGTGTAGACATTGCTTCTGATTAGTGGGTTTAGCTATTTCAGCCACACCCGTTACATCCGTATGCACCAACATGTGCATAAAATCAAGTATGTAACCATACTATTTTTGCTATCACCTCAATCAAGGTTCCAAGTGAGCTGAGCTGATACCAAAAGCTGACATGGAAAAAGTGCAGACTACTGATTGGTCGGAGAGAATCACTATTGCCCCGAACACATATGCTGACATTACCTGCCAGGTTATCTTACCCTCTTGTGTCACCTTTCAAGCAATCAGAATCTCCTCATCCTCTGAACTCTGATTTAGTTTTTCCCCAAACTCTTGTTGTTAATTTTTTCAGCAGTCTTTTGTCTTCCTGCCATGGGCCTCTTCTGAACAAAATTAGTCTCCGTTACATCATGGGGGTTTCATGTGGCTTCCCTGTGACTACCAGCCAAATTGAGGGGGTACTATATCTGCATAGGACAACGTAGTAGCTGGTGCCAAAAGCCAGTAGAGTTGAGTCGAGTTGAGCCATACCATGCACTGAAAAAGCGGCTATAGACAAACACTGGCAGTATGATGGGTACTAAAAAGTTCAGAGACATTCGATGTGGCACTGTGATCGAATGCCAACTGTCCAACAAGGCAACTTATCAAATTTCTGCTTTCTAAAGCTGCCCCGTAAGGTCAACTCTGAGTGCTGTTATTGTGAATTGGAAGTGAATATATAATCATAGTGTAAATGTCTAGAACCAACAGTAGCACTGCAGTGAAGCAATAGGCCATACATGCTCACAGAATGCAGTGCTATAGTGTGTAGTGTGCAAAACTCATCTCTTCTTGGTGAACAACACTCAGAGTATCAAAGTGCCTCTGGAAGCAACATCAGCACAAGAACTGTCTACCTTTTTGGATTGGATTTCCATGGCTGAGCAGCTACACACCAAGATCACAATGCATAATGCCAAGTGTTGGCTGAAGGGCTGTAAGGCACGCCATTGTTGGACGTTGGAGTGCATTCTCTGGAGCGATGAATCACCATCTTCACCATCTGGCAGTCTGACAGATGAGTCTGGGTTTGGAGCTACTGGTCTGAAAGCACAGTGCCAACTTTAAAGTTTGGTGGAGAAGGAATGATGGTCTGGGGTTCTTCACTCATTCTATTGAAGGAAAATCTTAATGCTACTGCAGACAGTGACGTTCTGCAGAACTGTGAGCTTCCAACGTTTGTGACAACAGTTTGGGGAAGGCTCTTTCCTGTTTTATTATGACATGCTCCTGTGCATAAAGCAGTGTCCAAAAAGAAATGGCTTGCTGAGTTTGGTGTGGAGGCCTGCACAGAGCCCTGACCTCAACCGTATCCAGCAACTTTGAGGTGAACTGGAACAGGCAGCCAGGGCTTATCATTGAACATCAGTGCTGAACCTCACAAATGCTCTTGTGGTTGACTGGAAGTGAATCCCTGCAACCATGTTCCAAATCTGATGGAAAACCTTCCCAGAAGAGTGGAGATCCAATTCCATTTTAATGTTAATGGTTTTGAAATGAAATGCTCAGCCAGCACATATGGGTGTGGCTTTCAGATGTCCACATACTTTTGGTTGTATAGTGTATGAAGAAAAGAATAGCAGTGGCATTTCAGTGCTTAGTAGTTGACATGTATATGAAGTCATTGCAAGGTGAAACAGAACTTAATGAATAATGGAAAAATGCAGATGATGAAAACAATGCTTGTTTGAGACTAAAGTTGAAGGTTAGGCTCTGTTTAGACAGCAGGCATGCAGTAATGTGCAAATCAGATTTGCTTTTCTACTTTACCTGATCCTGTTGGATTTGTAGGTAACACTACTGTTATATAATCATTTGCTAAAATATATGGTCAGTGAAGGAGCTTTACAAAAAAGCTTTTGAAATGGTAATGAGAATCATTAAGAATTTTTAAGGCAGGGACTCTGATATGCAGTGCACTTTTACCATTAGCTCTAGAAGATGAAAAGTCTTAAGATGGATTTTAAGACCAATGTAGAAGCTATTATGAATATTTATTGCTTTTGATATAACAACAGATTACAAAAAAATTATTTGCCTTAAGTAGTTACAGATCTGTTTTTACTTTTTAGATTGATACATTTCGCTTTTTCCTTTTATTTAATCTTTTTGTTTATTTACATGTTTTATTTTCATCTCTCCATGACTGTTTTTCTCAGCTGTTTTAACTACGTCCAGTTTAATGTGTTTCTTATGGAGAAGTTCATTCACTTTAGTTATTTCATGCTTCAATTCAAAGGTGGATAAGAGAACTTCTGGGGTGGAGACTGTGACCAAAACTGTTCTTGCACCAAAGAAACCTGGGAAATGGAAGCCTCCAAAACCTACGCAGCGTGGCCCCAAAATCACTTTATCCCAGGAAACATGCCCTAAACATGGAACCAGCATGCCAACATTCTCCAGCCCTTTGCATCAATCTTCAATGTCTACAGGCACTGAAGGGCAGCCTTTCCACCAGACACAGCAAAGCAAGAGTACTCAGCTCCTGAACCCACAGAAAAGTGCTCAGTCTTTAGATGAGAGACCAGAGCAGAACTCTACCCTGCAGAAAAAACGGAAGAAACAAGATGCCAAAACATCTAACCACTCCTACATCTCTAAATCCCCCAAACAAAAGCGCTTTGCTTCAGAAATGGACAACCAAATACACCCAGAGCACCCAGAGGGAGACAAGGAAAGAAATGCAATCTCAGCATCATCCAGACTCACCCTAGCCTTGTCCTCCGACCCACGAGTTTGTGATGCCAGCCGTCTGTCACAGGAAGAGAGGGAACGTGTGCTGGAGGAGGCTAGCGGAGCAAGAGCACTGGTGGTTTCAATGGTTTACCAGGATGGCACCACACAGCTGGACCCTGAACAGGTATCAGAGGATCAGACTGAGTGGAGTGGAGATAAATTTTCAGATGAGTGTTCCTTAACTTAAACCAGGACTGTCCGAGAAGGCTATCTTAATGCATACTTCCTTTTATTCCTATTTATAAACACCTATGGTTTCCCCAACATTTGTGTCTGTCGTCTAATTTACCTAGCTTTGTATTCCCACACCTGACATCCGTGACATTGCATTCCCAGGCCAATGTCCCTAATATTGTATTCCCACTCCAACGTTCATAACATTGTATTCCTGCTCCAGTATATATAGCATTACATTCCATCTCCAATGTGCCTGACATTGTTTTTGCAATTCCAACATTGTGAACAGTGTTTCTTTTCCAGCATTCCTGACTGATCCTCTACAGCAAATGTAACATTGCGTTCAAAGTCCAACATTCTAAACACTGTATTCCCAGAACAACATTCTAACATTGTCTTCCCACTCCAATAAGCCTATTATCTCATTCACACTCCAACATCACAAACGTTGGTTTCCCTATTCAATAGCACTAGCATTGCATTCCAGCTCCAACATCCCTAGACCTTGTATTCCCTAATTCCAAACAGTATTTTTTCTCCCAAATCCCTAACTTCACATTCATAAGATCTTTAGTCTATTCTTTGTTTATTGCATTATTTAGTTATGCATGTAATTTGTCTGCAAAAGATTGCCCCAGTTAATTGCTCTGCATGCCTTATCGACTATTTTATTAGTTTTCTATGTACAAGCCTTGAAACGTTTTATTTTATTAGACCCTTAATAAATGTAAGATTCTCTGTGTACAATTACTTTTTTGTTGTGTCCTATTGTGCAGAAGCCTCCTCCTGCTGTGTGTGGACTTTTGGTTCTGCTCAAGAAGAGTCTAGAGTCATTGGATTTAGAGCAGACTGGAGCTGCTGAGGAGAGAGTGCTACTTCTGAGGCTGGAGCAGAGACCTGTTTGGGTTCAGCAAGACCCACAACACAACCAGGATCTTTTCACCAGGTGTGAGTCAGTGTGAGAGAGAAACAGAAAGTGCTGGGTCATGGTCCATAAATACATACAGTAGTACTAGGGCAGAGACAATAGAAAACGGTAGTGCTTTATCACTGCTCTTTTTATAAATAGTTTTTGTTTGTGTGTGTGTGTGTGTGTGTGTGTGTGTGTGTGTGTGTGTTACAGAGAGATGCTGTTGCAGATGGTGTGTGGAATGCAAAGTTTAGTATGTTATAAAGCCAAAGATCTGCTCCGGACCATACTCAGGCACTTCAGCAGAGATCTGAGCTGGAAGCAAGGTATTAACTCTTCTTATACATACCAGAACCACAGTGCTCCTGTAGACCTTTTACACCATCTAGGGCACATCATGGATGGTACACACACACTAGAGCTGTTGCCAGTTTGTGAAATGTCATTGTCTGCACTGCCATCAATAAACAGATATTTCTGAGGTTTCCACATTGCTCAAGATCCTTTGGGATTAGTAAAGTTTCAGTCTTTATATTTGTCTGTCAGTCTCTCTATTTATAGTCTTTCGATCTATTACATATATTTTATTTATTTTTTAGAAAAGCAGTATTCTTAATTTGTTTAGATTTATTTAAATATTTTAAGATATATTTTACATTAAATATACTTTAAAGCAAAAAAGAACAATTCTTTATAATTTGTGCAGTGGATCTACAAGGGTATTGTAGCTAACAAGTAATAGAAGCTTTTACCCCACTAATTAGCACCAAAAAACTGCATGTCTAAATCATTTTCATAAAACATCTTAAAATCAACCTGAAATCAAAATGGTTCTTTTTTTACCTTAGCATTTAAAAGACAAACTTCTTGTTTCTCTGGAATCTTTGATGAAATTGTAGTGATTTTTGCGCGTCCCTAAACGCTGTCTAACGTTTGGTTGCATCAACGTGTTTCAGCGGGCAAGAAACATTATACTGACCAATAATATCTTAGCATAATTTCCCTCCTCCCCCTCACTCTGACCTATCATAGAGCAAAAACACCAGTCTTTACCTCTGCTCCTGTACATGTACATGTATGTCGGCAGACAACCTCCCTTATTCTCTTTACTTTACTTTCTCACTTTCTTACTTACATTTTTTGGACTGCTTGTAAAATAATCAGTTATGAGTTATTTCAGTTAGTTTATGCTGAAAACTCTTGTTCTGCTCCAAGAGAGGTAGTTGAAATATCTGGCAGTTGTGCTGTTTTCCAAAGTTTTCTGCCACGCTGTGAGGCTGAGAGGGTGTGATGGAGTAATGTGCATACACACACAATCCATCTCTTGCTTAAACTTGGTTATAGTCGTACACTTGTCCTTTTATTCGAAGTCTCAACAAATAATGAATTGTGTTTCAGAAACTACAGAAAATACACATCAAACTATGGTAGTATTTTAATTTTTGAAAAATTATGGATTTTTTAATTTTATTTTATTTTATTTTTTGCTTTTCCGCAATACAGACAGATCTTACTGGCCATCAGAGTCTGACTACGTGTTCACTCTGGGACATTTGTTTTCACAGTCTGATTAACTACATTTAGGGGCTAGGGGAATATTGTGTATTGTGATTATTCACTGCATTGCTATCACTGCTAAAATGCCTGCAAGTGCCCATAGGACAGAACACTCTGACTTAAGCAGTATGACTCTGTCACTGGATTAATAACATTTATTTAATCAGAATCAGGACTACAATGGATGTCACGCTGTCATGTACATTATGTACATTGTACTTTCTGTACTTTCCAGTCTTTATTCAGTACTTAGACAGCAGTAACTTGTGCAGAGGCCACATGAAGCCTTTATTGTAATGAGCTAATTTGTGAATATAGTGTGTTGTCAGCAGATATCTTGCAGGTTTCTGGGCTTTTCTGTGCAGTGGCTGCTTGTCAGGTATTGGATCCTCAGATTGCTGCCTGGTTACTAGACCCTGCAGACTCTGCCCGCTGCTTCCAGGACCTGCTCAACAAGCACTGCACACGTCCAACCACACACACCCCTGCACAGCCTGCGCTCGGACACAATAAGGTCAGAACACATGCAAACACTCACACTCTACAACACAAGCAGGAAGGTCAGAAAATACCTAAGCTGTTCCACAACTTGCACTCAGATACATACAGACACACACTCTCACATACACACCTTCACAGCCTGTGCTTGGACCTAAAAAAGTTGGACACATGGACACATCATCTGTTTAGACCCAGGAGGGTCGAATGTTTATTTTTATAATTATTAGACACCCATTCCTCTCTCTCTTTTTTTATTTTACAGGTAACCCAAGCGATCTCCAATCTGTCTCACCTACACAGGCTAATGGTAGAACTCCAGAATAAGCTACAGGTACACTCCTCTGACCCAAAAATAACAACACACAAAAAGCCTGCAAAACTCACACTCTCTCTGCTCTTTTGGCAGATACAGGGTCTGTGGCAGCTGTACTTCTGCATGGAACAGAAGATGATTCCAGTATTAGCAGGTACGTTGTTTGCAAATTAGACAATATGTTGTAAAATAAAAGAAAAAAAATGTTTTAACTTAATGTAAGTAGCCTGGCTTCCTTCAGCTTTTGAGTTTAGCGTAACAGTAATCAAAACCATTCCTTTAAGTAGTCCTGAGTGTTCTCAAATGTATATGTTTAGTTCTACTTGAGTATATTTGCGAGCTACTTCTGAGCTATATAATTTTATTTTACATCAAAAGGATTTCCTATAAAGAGAAGAATAGTATGGCAGCATTTTCAAATTCAGTTTTTGCAAATTCAAATGCAGATTTAAAAATATGTATTTACATTTGCATTTCTGTGTATAATGGCAGGAAAGTGCTAAGTCTTTTTGACTTTTCACTTTTAATGTCTTAATGGTCTGACTCTGACATAAAAAAATTAATAAGTCACCCGTTCACAATTGCATTGCTTCATCATTGTGCTTCAACTCTGCCAAAATGAAAATGTATCTGCAACCCTGTTTGCATTTGCATTTTTTCTGTCAATAAGCACTCCTGTCGATCAAACGCTGTGGGTAGGATGTCGAGAGGGACTTTTCAGTGCGGCGCATGTTTTAAGAGAAAGTTACTGAAAAAGTCTACAGCTTGGCGGTACTGGAGCATTAGCAACCACTGCTAGTAATTTTTTAACACTTGCCAACCAGGCAGAGGACAAATCCGTCCAAAGTGATTCACTGTTGTTTTGTGTGGAAGTGATTCTTGTCCGACTAGGAGTGCTCGCACCGATGTTAGTGACATCATCACCGGCTTCAGGCAGAGGCTTGCAGGACTGTCAGAGGATCTGGATGGACAATGATGGATATTCGTGTTAAGGAGATGCAGGACCACTGAGGGTTAGCCCAGTGTTTCCCAGCTCTGCTCCTGGAGGAACACTGCCCTGCACATTTTAACGTTTTCACTGCTTCCAACACTACTAATAAGGACTGTTACCTGAAGGCATCTGGCACAAAAAAATAAAGATTATTCTCAGATGGTAGCACAAGCATCACAGTGAACACATTCTCTACCAGTACTGATGATCTTAATGAGAATTTTGGAAAACCAGTCCAGCTCATTAACAACCGCTGACCATTTGTAACTTGTTAAAGCAGGGAAAGCACTAAATTGTGCTGGGCAGTTCTGCGAGCCTCCGGTCACAAGGTCACTAACGCTTGTGCTTGTAACAGCCACAAGCTCTCTTAGTCAATCAAGAATCACTTCCACACAAAACAGTGAGTCACTTTGGACATAACTATCCTCAGCCTGGTTGTCGAGTGTTAAAATGTCGCTAGCAGCGATTGCTAAGACTCTAGTGCCACCAAAGCTTAGACTTTTTCGTCACTTCCTCTTAAAACACCCCCCACACTTAAAAACCCCTCCCGATGTCCCACCCACAGGATTTGATTGAGAGGAGTGCCTCATTGCCAAAATAAACTGTATTTGCAACTCTGGTTGCAATTGCATTTTCACTGTCCGAGTTGAAGCGCAATGCTGAGTCGGGGATTGTTATTCAGTCAGACCATTTAAGACAATGAAATGTTGCTTTTCCATATTAACTTTTTTGAGCCATTATACACAGAGATGCAAATGTCTTAGAAGGAAGACACTCATAAATGGAGATACACATTCTAGTAATCTGAGTAGATGGTAACTCCAGTCCCCTCTCTTTCTGTTTCTCTCTCTCTCTCTCTCTTCCTGTTTCTCTCTCTCTCTCTCTGTCTCTCTCTCAGCTATGGAGAGTCACAGAATCCATGTGGACAAAGAGAACTTAAAGAAGACATCAGACATGCTGGGGGTAATAAAGAAAGAGTGTGAATATGCCTGTCTGTGAGGTTAGAGAGGATCTGTCAGTGCTCAGTTTCTTTGCCACAGCCAGAGTTGCTAATCTCATTGACACATGCTTTCAGGGGTATAAATACAAATGCACACACACACACACACAACAGTAGGCTATAAATAGAGAGCAGTGTTTGTCTTCTGTAGAAGGGATCACCACAACTGCATAGTGCAGTGCCTAAAGAGACTGAGATGAAGAGCATTCTGAGAGGATGACTCTGCTCCGGGGAGATAGACTGGAGCTTTAATATTGATAGCCTGGTGCTTTCTGGCTCTTACTTGTTCACAAAGTACAGTGTTGCCTGCCCCTCTCTCTTACCCCTGTCTGACTCTGTCTGTCTCTTTTTCTATCTCTGTCATTCTGTCCCTCTCTCTCTCTGTCTCAGAATAAGATGAAACAGTTGGAGCAGGAGGCTCATCAGGCCGCAGGCCAGCAGTTCCTGGTGTCCAGCAGTGCCCAACTTCGACTGGTCAGTGTTTTGTTTGTGTGTGTGTGAGTGTGATAGGGCTGTATGATGTGGACAAAAAATGGTATTTTGATTATATTTCTATATATTGTGAATATTACATGCCTTGCAAGATATCGTAACCATATAGATAAATTAATAATAGGACAGCTAAAGACTGGCCTGCAGAGACTATTTTAACTAAAATTAAACTAAAATTTTTGCAATTCTGTGATTTGTGTTAGGCTAATTTACACATCTCATTTACACAATAATAATAATAATAATAATAATAATAATAATATATTCAGTTTATGTAGCCTTCCATGATGTCACTATCCTGTCACTATCAGGATGGCCAGTGTTAATGACACACACACACACACACACGTATACATATATATCTATATATATATATATATATATATATATATATATATATATATATATATATATACATACATACATATATATACATACATACATACATATATATACACACACAGCATCACCACTCATCTGTCACACAAGGCTGAAAACCTTGGAGTGATCCTGGACATTCAGCTTCATTTCTCAGATCATATAACATGTGCCATGATATCCTGGAGATTTCTACTTCACATCAGGACAGTGTGACTCTTCCTGACTGCAGAAGCTCTTCAGATGTAACTAGTGCAGTTTCCTCCTTCCAGACCATCTTTCATATACCATTTCTCCTCTACAGAACCTACAGAGTGCTGTTGTTTCCCATCTGATCCATAACCTCGCAAAGTTATGTTTTGTGGATCTCTGGTGAGATCACTCCACTGGCTTCCTGTGGAAGCAAGAATTATATACAAAACTCCTGGTTCTCATATTCCAGGGTTCAAAAGGCTCAGTTCCTCACTACTTCTGCACCTTTGTCCAGAATTATTCACAGATTGAGCGAGAGAGATGGTCTGACTATACACGCCAGCTTAGGTCTTCGAATTCTGGCTTCTTGATATGTCCTTCCTTTAAATCTAAACATGCCTGAAAGGCTAGGTCTTACAGCTTTAATGCCCTTACCCCTGGAACAAACTTCATTCTTCAGCCACTCAGATCCTTCTGCTGTGGTCTGAAGACAAGGCTCTTTCTTAATCATTGTGCATTTCTCTTCAGTCCACTGCAGTTTACCTCTGTGTGTTGTTCATTTACTTTTAAAAAGTACACTATTAATTCTCCCTAGTGTATTTATTTATTTAACCAGATCAAACCGTAGTATTGCTCTTAGGTTACAATCTTCCTCAACCAAAAAATAGTGACATGCACAACATTGACATTCTCACATTTCAGGATGACAGCTGTAGGGTGACTGGTTCAACAGACATGATGGAAACTGGGACAGTTTGACTGACCAGTAAAATCACCAGACTTCAATCCCAATCCACAGTTTGGAACAGTGGTTGAAACAGGCACACAAACTCTGGCCGAAATGTGCCCCTGGCTTGAGGAAGAGTGGGCCAGAGTGGACAGGAGAGGACTGGTGTAATCCTTACCTGACAGGATTGTTGATGTTATTAAGGCAAGGGGACACATAATGATGCGTGCGACTAATGTTTTGTCTGGTGTGATTTGATTCCTGCAGTATCTCCAGGTTCTTTGTACTGCTTTGGCTTCTATTGTCTACACATTTTGTAAGTCTCTCCAGGTAAGAGCGTCTTCTAAAAGACTAAATCTAAATGCAGTCACTACTAATGCTGTCCTGTCATCAGGTCCTGTTTGAGAAGCTGCGTCTGCACGAACGCTGTGAAAATAAGAAGCTGCCCAAAACTGTGCTCAAACAACAACAGTCCACTTCAGAGGCTGCGGTAACACTACTACAGCACCAATACAGTACTGCAGATTGTCAGCTTTTATTAAAAAATTTTATAAGTATTTATGCTGACTGTAGCTAAAGCAGGTTGCTTAGTCAGTATTACTAAGTTGATGCTACTGCTGATAAACGTATTCGTAATATTCAGTAACTCCTAACCTTTTTTCTTCTTTTATCTTATATAGCTCTTACAGCTCCAGGATCTGCACCCCTTGCCCAAAATCATTCTTGAATACAGACAGGTGAGTGTTTTTTTTGTGTGTTTATTTTTCTCTGTGTGTACATGAGACCTTCAGTCTGTGTGCATAACCTTTTAATGTTTTTCCCCACAGCTTCACAAGATCAAGTCAACTTTTGTGGACGGAATTCTATCCTGTGTGACGAAGGTATGACTGTGGAAAATTAGTATAACACATTGGTGTTGGCAGTTAATATCATGTTATCGATATTAACTGTCAATATGGTGATATTAATTAAATCTTCATCAACATAATGCGCACTATACTGCTGTTTGCAAAAGACTGAACACCACCTGTCAAATTATCTAATCTATCTGATCTATTTTTGAGTGAAAATAAAGTTAGATGTAGCAGTTTTTGCTAAATTATTGTACTCGATATAGTTCTATATGTTTGTTGAGTTTAACATACTGGAAAATATATATATATATATATATATATATATATATATATATATATATATATAAAATGTGCTTTAATTTTTGCATAGTCCACATTTTGTGTTTTTTTTTTTCTTCTTCCAATATGTTACATTTAACAGAAGTTTGTTCTCTGTGGAGGATGTTAATGTATTTTCGCTTGTCATTTGGCTTTATTTTCACTTCTAATTTGACTTCTGTGATTTTTACTTTTGCATACAGCTGTTTGCCCAAAAGTATCCAGAACACCTAATCTATTTAAAAGAATACCCCCCTTTCTCTCTCTTTCTCTCTCTCTCTCTCTGTCTCAGTCATTCATCTCTTCCACGTGGAATCAGACAAGTACAGTTAGTGGCAGACTGTCAGCCAAACATCCAGTGAGTACTCCCTCTTCCCATTTTGTCTTTTTCTCTTCTTTTTTTTCTTTGTCCCTCCCTTTATCATGTCTTCCTTCTCACTTTACCATCCTCTGTCTTAATCTATTTTTATTTCCTCTAAGTATTCTTTTGCTTTGCCTCATTATGTCTTCACCCCCTTTCCTTCCTCTGTCTTTTCTGTTCTGTTTTATCCCTTAGTCATCTTTTCTGTTTTCTTCTCCTCATCCTCTCAGGCATGCCTCCTCAGAATCCTTTTCAGGCTGTCTCCCTGTTCTATTCACACCCCTCTGAGAGTGTTTTGGCATATTTCATCTCTTTCTCTCTCTCTCTCTCTCTCTCTCTCTCTCTCTCTCACTCACTCACTCACTCTCTCACACTCACTCTCTCTCACACTCACTCTCTCACTCACTCTGTCTCGCTCTCGCTCTTTCTCCCTCTCTCACTCACTCACACTCTCTCTCACTCACTCACACTCTCTCTCTCTCTCTCTCTCTCTCTCTGTCTCTCTCTCTCTCTCTCTCTCTCTGTCTCTCTCTCTCTCTCTCTCTCTCTCACACACTCTCTCTCTCTCTCACACACACACACACACACACACACACACACACACACACACACACACACACACACACACACAGTGTCTGGTGCAACTAAAAAAGCGAATTTATTTATTCTCACTCCCTTTTCCCTCTCCCTCTCTCTTTTCTGCTGTCTTTTTCTCTCTCACTTCTGATCTTTCTCTGCTTTTCTGTCTTTCTGTCTCTCTCTTGCTTTCCCTTCAACTCTTCCCCTCCACTCTCTTGCCCTCCCTTCTGCGCACTTTCTCTCTCTGTTTTTGTCTTTTTCTCTCTCTCTCTTTCTCCCTTCTGATGTTTCTCTACCTTTTCTCTGTCTATCTTTCTGTCTCTGTTGATTTTTCTCTCTTTTTTTGCTTTCCCTTCTCCACTCTCTTTTGCCCTCCCTTCTGCTCTCTCTTTCACTATCTGTCTGTCTCATTTGAGACTGGTCTCTCTCATCCACAGACACCTCACTCACACATGTGTACACACTTTTAACACTAGTTCAGACAGACACAAACTCATGCTAAAGCTCAAATGAGGGACTTATGGTGATGAGTTTAAGTGTGTGTGTGTGTGTGTGTGTGTGTGTCTGTGTGTGTTGTAGAGGGTTTAGTGCTTTAGTCGTGGTTTGAGCAGCTTTGTGGAATCAGAGAAATAGCTCTGCTGAAATATTCATAAACCCACAGACATCCAGACAGGCAGACATACTCAGCAGGGAGGAGGAAAAGGGAAAAGTGAGATGAGAGAAAGAGATTCCATCAGAGAAATAAGAAAACCAGAGAAAAGTTAGGTTTAGGGTTAAATTTACGTACTTATATACTTTTTTACATACTTATGTAATAATATGTACTATATATATGTTTTGCCAGTATGGTTTGCCATTAAGTAGTGTATATCATACAACATTGAATAAATACTTGTGAACATAAACACAGTAAAACATAACAAGACTTCATTGCTTTTTAGTAAAGTTATTAATATGTTGGTTAGAAGAATACAGTTAGAACAGGTTCCTGACTTCTCCTTTCACTCCAACCATTGCATTTGTTAAATTCTAGCAGTATCTCCTGATTTAATTTAATGAAGGCTTGATTGAAGCAGATGTTGGATGATAACTGTAATATTTTGCTTTTATTGAGGAGAGCTTTGAAATGTTAAGCTAACACCCTGACAGATAAATGACTTTACATATTGTGTCAGATGCCAGTGCAGTACATATATTATGGGGCACGTGTGTGTGTGTGAGTCCAGGTCTTGACCTTGTGTGAGGACAAGCTTGTATCTATATATGTGTGTATAAGGGGTGTAGGGTAGGTGTAAGTGGGCAGTGTGTGTTTATATGAGCGTGGACCAGCAATGGTCATGTTTGTTTATTTCTGAGGCACTTTTTAACAGCTTTTAGCTTTTTGTATTGCTGAATCATTGCCTTACCACAGACACTGAGCACAGTCTGGGTCTCTGTGGTACACATTCGCTCTCACACACACACACACGCACACACTCCGGCGTAATGTGCTTCGACGCTGAGTGGCATTTATTTGGTGTGTTTACGACAGTCTGAAGGCTGTGCTGCATTTCTTACTGTTTTTCTGTCACTCACTCATACACTTTTATGAACTCTCTCACTCTCCCATTCACACATGTTCAGTGATTGATTTCATGAACTCAGTTGCTACCCCACTGATTCTTGTGCTTTCAGTATACTGCATCTACACCCACTGCATAAGTTTCACTTACATGCCCCATTCACATCCTACTCACTTCTATTATATTGTATTTTTTTGAGGATAAACAAGCTTGTCTTTTTAAATGCAGCAGTGTCTAATGAGTATAGTAAACAGTAATAAGTATAGTTGCCAACTAAAAGGATTTATCTGAAATTAGAAGTATTAGTTAACAGTAAGTTGGTGTCTAAGCGCTGCTTTGGTACCAATATCAGAAACCTGAACGGGGTGGTTAGTTTAGTACTTACTTTAATACTGTTGTATACTTCAGTATACAAAAAATGTTTATATGTTTATCTAAATTTAGTCTAAAGTAGTCTAACCTTGGTTAGGCTGGGCGTACACTGCACGACTTTTAAAATCTTAACAGATTTCTAAAACAGAGAGCATCACAAACTTAACGTCAGTTTGTCACAGAATTTCTTGTCTTTTTTGTCATGAGGGTGCTCACACTAGCCGACAGGGCAAAGAGAGAGCATAATACACATAACTCATTGAGTAAATCTCTGACCTTCTCACATTGCAGTGAACGTTTTGAGTTGTAAATATCAAACATGTTTGATAATATCAGAAGGCTTCCAATCACTTCAGAGTTCGATCAGAGGGCTAAACATTCACTCGTTTCTCCTCTCACGCTACCAGATCATCCACGCTGTCAGTCACTTCCGATTGAGCTCCCGACCTGGAAAACAGATTGTGAAAATATGTCACAAGGGGCAAATCAGGCTTAAAATCAGGCAAAAAATTGTGTAGTGTAGGCCCAGCCTTAGCCTACTGTACAGCCTTAGCCTAAGCTGTATGTCACTGAACAGTATAAAAAATACTTTAACATAAAATTTCAACATCAGTTAGGCTAGAAGTCATGCTAGGATTAGACCAGGGAGGGATTGTGCCTGCACAGCAGCAAAGCAGAACATTTCTATCATGCTTTTGTTTTCACATGGCAGTCGTGAGTGTAACTACTACGCCACCATTAGTGGAGCATGTATAGTGTAGTGTGTGATTATTGCATCGCAGTTAAATATTGCACATCATGTGCACGTGACCGCTACTGCCACTGCTCTTCAAGGACGGTATATATGGCTAGACTGATTAATGCAGGAGTGCACTGCAGGCCCAGGTGGTGCACTGCGAAAGCATGCTTCCCTCTTCTAATTTGAAATGTGCTTCACTTAGCTGTGCCCTTGTGGAAGAATAAACAGAACAACAACAAAAAGTTGGAGTGATTGTTGCAGCTTTGCTTTATAGCAATGCGCTCCAAAAATATGCATTGATCCAAACATAATTAACTTTGGAGAAGTTATTCTCTGCCAGATGATTTGATTATAGTTTTGATTCAGCTTTGATGAGGCGCTGTAGTGTGTCTGTTTTTGAATTAATCCATGTTGTGAAAGTTCATTGCATTTTTAATACTGCATAGTATTAACTATTAAAACAATTTAAATGCTTTCAATTCTTTATTTAAAAGACTGTACTATCTGTAGGTGAAGTGAGTCGCACATGCTCATATGAACTGAATGTTAGGCTATGTTGTATTTCCCTTCTCATCATAACATGCTGAATGAGACGTATTTAAGTTATTTAGTTGCTCATTTGATGTATATAACATTTCAAATGTTTTTTTCATTAAAGATCAGATATTTAATTAGATTATAACATTTTGAACATTTTTCTGTGATAATAGACTCTGGGGTTTCAGCACATAGTCTGCACATCCTTAAGTCTTTATTTATCCTATATTACTGTTTACAAATTAAACGCCTTAGTAAGCATTAAATTTTCTTAAACTTGAAATTAAAAGATTTTAGATTCTGAAAAACAGTTTGATAATCAACCCCAAACCACAAAAAGACATCTGACATCATACACTCATTCAGTAATACAGGGTCACTCATAGTGACAGTGCAGGACATGCACTGAGCTAACGTTACCTGCTGTTGAGCTAGCATTCCCAGAAACATGCTGAGTTGGGTGAGTTACTTTGAAGAGTGTTTTTAGAGTATATTGTCACTGCAAGTCTGGTCTTAAATGATGTTTTAAGTTGCATTAAAAATGTCTTAAAGAGTATTATGTTTACTTTGAGGATGTCTGCACACACCCTGGTCCAGACAGTGACAAGTGTTTAAATTCATGCCATCGTATCGCTCTGTTTTGATGTCGAGTATTATGGGACTACTTGGTATGAGTATCAAAGTCAAAATCTGATATTGTGAGTCTAATGGCGGCCGTCCAGAGGGAGAGATTGACATAAGTTCACAATGTGTTTCTTGCAGAATGTTTCTCTCCTCCATCGTGTGTGTGTGTGTGTGTGTGTGTGTGTGTGTTTGTTGAAACAGATCGAAAGCTCATCTCGGAGTCGTTCTTCTGTCAGCGTCCGGCAGTCTCAGCTTGACAGCTACTCTTATTCACGCTCTCTCTCTCTCTCTCTCTCTCCTCTCTCTCTCTCTCTCTCTCTCTCTCTCTCTCTCTCTCTGTCTCTCTCTCTCTGTCTCTGTCTCTTCCTCAGTCTCCCTCCCTCTCCTCTCATATCCTCTAATGATCTGAACTCCTTCCATCCAAACAGTCCATCCATCACCCTGGCCCTCTGTTCCACTAGCTTGGTCTTGATGTCGCTCTAATGATGTTCTGATTGGTTTTTGCTCGTTCACCATTTCTACTTTCATAATCCCAGTCTAAGACCACATAACAGTTCTGGATTTTAATATGTATTATTTTTCCT